TATATATATTAAGTAGTTACAATAATTTGTAGTGATGCTATGTAATCCTCAATTAATTGCGAAGAATGATCGAATATCAATATTATGAATTATATTTACGTGGTGAAGATAAAAGGAATCCGAAAAGTTGGTTTATTTAAGTGTAACACAAGATTTTTTCTTAATTACAAAGTTTGGATGCAAGCATTCAGTAGCCTAGGTAAGCTTATGTGCGCTCGGGTTCATCGTTTACTTGTGGTGATAGTTCTGTATTATTATATTACTAGCGCAAGTTGTATATTGGACGTTTGCGTCTTTGTCTGATATGTTCAGAGGAAGGTTTGAAACCCCCAGTAGCTTACTAGAAAACAACCTGTCAGTGATTTTTTGTCCTCAAATTATAAGCCTTAACATATGGACATTCTCCTATAGATTTATGAAAAGTCTGCAGAATGTGTGGAGACCGCTCACAAGCAAAGGTCCGGAAATGACCCAGACGAGTCATCAGCCAAGATACTTTCTCCAATGCTTGTTCGGCGATCTTAGAAAAAAATGCGAAAATCCATGTCACAATCAAACGGCAAAACTAAAAGAGTGCTAAATTTTGAGGTCTTGGTGTACATTTGTGGAGAATAACTAATAATCATGAACTAACTTTTAGGTCTTCGTATTAAAAACAGAATAATGCTATTGGAAAAGGGAGTGTAGAATGATGGTGTATTACGATATTAGTACTGCTCTAATAATAGACTTGATCCTAAAATTGTACATTTGTCATGATGTAACTACCTAATATATAAGACCTTAAGTGGACTTCACATCATTATCTACACTGACTCAGTCGTATTATAACAACTAATATATGATGAAGAACACATTTAGGATGTAGATAGAACACTATATTCAATATAGATAAAAGATTGTTACATAAGTATGACCACGCCTGCAAGGCCGTGCTATGCCATCCGACCAACTCAAACTAAATAAATTTGGGCTACAAAAAAATGGGACAATAATAATAAAGTAATTCCATGTAGGGATATTTTAATAAGTCGCCGTAAGATGTGTGTTAATAGCTTAACTTATAGAAGGCACATATTTTGTGTTTAGAAATATTAAAAACAATCATTGTAACGACCGAACTACCAGTATTCAGGCTGAACGTAGGACTGACGAACCAAATTGTATTCGAATAGGTCAGACTACGATCTTCCGTATAGCACGCCAAGCGTTTTTAAGACACTCGTATTTAGTCATATCAAAACACAAATTCTGTTCTCAATTTATAAGGTTCTAATTTAAGAAATAGAACAAGTTATATCAAAAGTACAAAATACCTCAAACGGTACAGCCTGTGCTATACAGTCAGAAGTTTCTCTAACGCAAAGTAGTGCGCTAAACAACAAAAGAAACAGTCAATACCAAAGGATTTGATACCCGAGAATCAACAAATATATTCCCAACAAACGGGATCAAATATCTATCTGCAGGAATTCCAGAAATCCTCCGAAGCAGACAGTCAAAAGGTTAACAGTCACACATGAAATCACGCCGTGACCTTGAGCTTAGTCAAACACGACATCACTATCAATAGTCCGGCAATATGCAACGAAATTAGGTAACAAAAAGATAAGTTTTTAATCAAAATCACATAATAAAAGCTCAAACGAGATCTGAACAAAGGTTAATATATATGACAGGGAGAAGAAACAAATAAATAAAAATATTGTCCAACAAAAAAGGCTGTGGAGGGATTTTCATCGTTCTCTTTCCGTTACAATGGCCCCCAAAATCCCTCCAACTACGCAAAGACACCTTAGAATCCATTCCTGTCATGGCTCTCCTTACTAACTGCTCTATATCAATGGGAATCACAGGACTTACAACAGTACGCCCGCACATCCATAAACCTAACCTACAGTCTGCTGCTTTTCGGCCCCCCTCCAGGAATCAAAGCATTCGCAGCTCCTCAGTAGGTTCTCCTTCTCACTAAAACTAGTAACTTACTATATAGCAAAACATTGTCCGGAGGTTTGCGCTTGAGTATGTTCCATAAATAAAGAGAGGAGCTGCAATCTGTCTCAGTCAGGATCTTCATCACAAAGTCGGTAAGATCTCTACAAGCAAGGTCCAGACGCGAAATAACATAAGGCAATGCATAACCTTCATAAATTGGAACTGTGTGAGTCACACCCTCACCTGAGTCCAACGCTATACCAGTTGTACGACCAGATGCATACAGTGACAACACCACTTGAATAGCAACATACAAAGCTGGTGAGTTAAAAGTCGCAAACATGATCCATGTCAGCTCACGGTTGCTTTCGAATTAAATGAAGCTTCTGTCAACAACACTGAATGTTCATCTGTTGCCACTCGCAACTCGTCGTAGAATGCATGGTAAAAGGTCTTCTCCATATCACCCCACCTAGTCACAATATTATGTTACGATCGAGCATCGTCTCCCTCATAACTGTCCCTTGGATCCATTTTCATCACTCCTTGATGTCTAGTTCCTCCAACAATAGAGGATACGGCTCTTGAAGCGTCGTCTTCGGCGAAGCCGGCTTCATACATACCAGACCCATTGTTGATCACAGCAACATTATTCTCAGCAACTCCTCTTGGTAAAGGAACAATTTTGTCGATTGCTGGAATTCGCTACCGACTGAACTAGTTCAAGCGACTTCCCAGGAGTCCGTTAAGAGGAAACTTGACTTATTCTTAAGGACTAAGGATAACATCTTATCAGCTTATCATGTCCAATGGCAGAGTTTCAAATGAACTTCCACCACGATGATGGGTAGATTGTGACCTACTACTAAAAGTGACATCATTTCTCAATTCGTGTTCACCATTGGGGAAAGTCATTCGACCAACAATTCGTATCCCTGAAACATGACATTTGTCACAGCCAGCAGCACCATTGTGTCCAACAACATACCGAACGTTACTGCGAGCTGGAGCATCACAAATAACAGAAACCAATTTAACTGTCAAATGTACCTGATACTTATCTACATTTAGAACTACTGTCGGCAGCTCTTGCAACTCAGTGATAAGTGCTGCTGACATGTCGTTGAAATCACATGGTTTCACTTCACCCCCACATATCCCAACTATAAATACATTACTAACTATTGGACCCACTATGGGACTTAGTATCGGCCACAGCTGTTGGTTAGAGCTTTTAAACAAGCTTAGACCATCGTAGTTCAACTGCAGCTTTAGTTCTGTAAAACGGAATTTACGTAGCCAATTTTCCGAAATCCTCAGCAGACTTGATTTCAACCCCAAATGGTAATAAGTCCCCGTTCCGAGAATTTTAGGCTCCACGTCGTTGCATCTACGTAAAACACTTTGAACGGATTTCAGTAGTTCAGGTGTGCGCACGCGAATGACGTCCAGAATTTCGTCAGTCTTCTTCACTGTTATATCACCACCTTTCATGATGCCTATGACAATTCGGTCGACCTCTTCTTTCATTGACAGATGACTGGGTGGAGACATTTCTGAAATCACACCACCTATACATAGTTCATTAAGGAAGAAACACTACTATCGGTTGTACTGCCAGCACACTGGGCACAACAACATGAAGCAGTGGCTTTTTCGGAAACAATACTGTTACACTGCTTTGTAGCTACCGTTGTACCTACTCCGGTGATGACCACTGAATTGTTGTCATCTTCGTCACTGCTGCTTAACTGATAATTTCTTATGAATTCATCTCCCAACTTGCGCAACCTTCTGTAATAAGTTGATCTGGGACAGCCCAGCAAGCTCAAGTCTCTGGCAGCTTGAGCCCTTCTTTTAGCTATCTTATCAAGCTGTAAATTATTTTCCTGAAACAGACAATTTACTTATGTGAGACTGAAGCAGTGCAGTAATTGAAGTTTCGGATAGTGCTAAGAACTCACTTACATAGCGTTCGAATTCTCTCGTGTCTGTTTGACGTATTAAAACAAGACCCCGAAGTCGATAAACTTTTCTTGAACAAAAGTCTTTATTGTATAAAAATTTACAAATTTTAATTGTAATTTGATGCTTTATCGTTTAATAATCGATTGCTTTGGAAATGTTATTCTTGAATGATGCGCTACACATAAATTCGGGAATTTCTCCAAAATTTCCCCAAAGACTGGGGATTTCCCCAAACTTTGGGGAAGGCTGTTTCACTTTGGGGATTTCCCCAAATTTGGTAGCTTGGGTCACTATATAGTGACCACTAATTAGTAGTGTTTTAACCACTAACTAATTAGTGGTTAAAACATATACCTTTCAACCAACAGACCTTAACTCTACACCATCTCTAATTTTGGCATCGTTTTAACATTTATATAAATCACATATGTGACCTAAAGCCAAAGCTTTTATGTACCTATTGGTACATAAAAATTTATTTTCAAAATCACTTGCATGTCATTGAGTTAATTTTTGTTGTAGAAACTTAGATGTTGGAACATTCCTACTAATTCCTAGGTCTTTATTGACTGACGACCCACATTAGATCCTCTTCTTTATCTTCATAAGATTTATTTCTAATAGTATACTATTAGAAACACATTAATACATGTGCTGGAGCCTGTCTACTAGGCTTCGAAGCCTAGTAGACAGGCTCCTACACAGTAAACAACATAAATTTATTGTATGTCTAGTATATACTAGACATAAGATACATATCTTATTAGTGTATAGGTTTTGAATAATAGTGAGATATTTCGAATATCCTGAATACTAACTCTAGGTGCACCTAATTCAAAATTCACCTTGGTGTACAAGTGATTTTAATTAAATTAGGTGGACTGAAGGCCGGATTCATTGGAAGAAACTAACGAGACATCGTATTCTCGCCATTCAATGCAAAATATATAAAATGAATTATTAGTAGATCCCACAAGTTTATCTATGTTTTGTATCTTAAATATTTTTCAGAAAAGGTGTAGTAAACGCAGAAGACTTCTTTACTAGAAAATAGACATCCCGATAGCTTCGTTCACTCCTACTGCTATATAATAATTATGAAATCCTATGTAGCCGTAGTCATTTACTCGGTCAATTCAAAAAATTCTGAGTTCCAGAAGATGCGGGTTAGATCTTTGAAAATGGGTATAGAAAAAGTTGGTGCTTTCGATAAACTAATGTTATTTGTAAGTCAGTGTTGTTCATCAACTTTTCAATACTTGAATGATTCGCTTCGATCCGGTTCGAATGCCTAATTTTGAAAGGGTTTGTATGCTACTAGTTTTCCGTTCTAGATAATGTACGAAGATAAATGCATAGGTTTATTAGATTTTTGTTTAATAACCTCGTCTTTGTGCATTTTGGTTTCTCAAGAGGGTGTTGCGTTTATTAACCTTATTCAGTTTGTCAGTTTAGTCACAGAAATAGCTTTGCTTTACTGTTTCGATTGAATATACAGTAAAGAGTATGTTCGTAGATAGTATTGCTCGGAAATCATGCTCCAAATTTTAATTGTGAAATTATTTCAGGGCATAAATTCTGTAAAAGAATGTACCAGTCACTCAAACAGAGTTTTCTAGACTTCAGAATTACTGGACGAAGTAAAACACTATTTATGCTCAAAAAATATAATTCAAGACTTCTAAAAAAAAGGAGTAACAAGAGGGTATTATTCTAGTTTTCATGAGCTTTTGTTATGTGTACAGGACTTACTCCTGTTAATCCTTGTGTGAGGATAGGCCGCCAACTAGCATTCTCAATCGAATTCTGTTTTGGACAATCCTTTCCAGTTGTTTCCAGCTGCTATTTATTCTTTGGATGTCTGCTTCCAACTCTTTTCGTAGTGTGTTCCTTGATCTTATTCTTGTCCGTTTACCTTCAGGATTGCGAGTTAGCGCTATATCGTAATCCAGTTTGATGACTTCCTCAATGTGTGTCCTATCCACCTCCAGCTTTTTTCCCTAATTCCCTGTTCGGTTGGAAGTTGCTTTGTTCTCTACCACAGTAGGTCGTTGCTGATGGTATCCGACCAACAGACATTCGGTATCTAACGTAGACAATTGTTTATAAATAGCTGTACTTTTTTTGATAATGGTTGTGGTAGTTCTCCGCGTTTCAGATCCGTACAGTAGAACTGTCTTTACGTTCCTATTGAAGATTCTGACTTTGACGTTGGTTGACAGTTGTTTTGAGTTCCATATGTTCTTCATTTGTGGGAATGCGACCCTTGCTTTACCAATCCTCGCATTTACGTCTGCATCAGATCCTCCTTTCTCATCGGTAATGCTTCCCATGTACATGAAAGATTCCACCAGAGCTTTTCCATTAAGTGAGATTGGGTTGGTGTTCGCTGTGTTGTATTTGAGAGTGTTGCTTCTTCCCTTGTGTATGTTGAGGCCTACCGCTGCAGAGGCTGCTGCTACACTGATTGTCTTCATCCTTGTCCGGTCACTCGGGTTTATAATATTTCCCTGTTTGTTTCTTCGTTATATCATATCTCCTTCTCTTGCAACTTTTTTGAATCTTGCTTAGGGTATCGATAGAGAACCATTCTTCGTGATGGTGATTCTTGCGGCCTGGCACGTTGAAGTTTGTGTTTCTTCAATCTTTATTTAATTGTTCTTTGAGTAGTTCGTGTAAGGCTGGGAACCTGTTGCTGCGAGCTATCTGGAATTAGTTGAGTTTGTCAGTATCTTGAAGGAAGGCTGTATTGAACCTTTGTAATACTGTTTCTCCAGTTTTCCAGTGCTTTTTTAACATCAACCTCATTTGGACCACACGCGATTGGTGATTTGAAGCTATTTCAGCTCCTCTATTTCTTCTCACTTCTTCCATTGATCTGAATGTGTGGCGCATATATATTTCGTGCCCCCCTGTACCAATATTTATGTGTTCAAATAAATAATAAAAAATTGATCTGAATTTTTTAGTGAGGCAAATATGACCAATCTTGTTCTCTGTAACGTGATCCAGTAAGACTCATGTAGCTTTGCGTATGTATGTGTGGGGAATATTGTTTCGCCTATAACCATTTAGTTGAGCGCACATAAATTTGCAAATCTGTCGCCATTTTTGTTTCTTTCTCCTAGTCCATGTCGTCCCATGATATCTTCATAACTCGTGTTTACCATCCCGACTTAGGTGTTTAGGTCTCCCATCAGGATGGTCAGATCGTAGGCAGTGCTCTACGGTCGACTGCAACCTCTCATAAAACTGAACTTTATCGTCTTCGTTGTTATCATTGGTGGGTGCATAACATTGGATAACATTCATAGTGATTCCCTTTATTTTGAATGATTCTCTGATGATTGTTCATCCATGAGATTCCCATCCTATAGTTGCTTTCCGTGCTTCTTTGGACAACGTCAGAGCAACTATCTGAGTGCTTGAAGCATTTTCCTCTTCGTGACCGAAATACAGCAGCATCCCTCCTGAATATATCCTTTTCTATCCAGCTCGGGTCGAATGGATTTCACTGGTTCCGATCGTCGCTAAGTTGTACCTTGTCACTTCCTCCCGGTTTCCCACATTGTGCGGACATTCTGTGTACCTATATTAATCGTTGCTATGGTTGTTAGAAGGAGCATCGGCCTCGTGACTGACGAAGAATCTTGGCTTTCATCATAGATATGCTTCAAGTCACAGGGCAGAGTTTAAACGCTTCATAAAACTTTCTGGCAAACGTTTGTTATCAAGGTTGTTTTCTACGAGATGGGGTTTCTAACCCCGTGCTTAACCCTCCTCTCTTTGGGTTTGGGACTGACAATAAACCAGGATACCTTAAGATATTAAGATGGCTAGTGTTAGTGATTAGCTTCCAAATAATTTAGTCACGTTAGGTGTTGTTTCCTCTGTGATTACTACTATTGTGATTCATTCTGTTGTGAAACAAGAGAAAAATTCGCTATCAGAATTACTAGTTAATTAAATTAATAATATTTATTAACCGAGTGAAGACTATACTTGTACCATATATACGTTTTCCATATTACTTACAATATGTATTTTAATTTTAGTCTTGTAGTGTAGATCCTTCTTTATCGTGGTCTGTTGAAGGTTCTTCTCATAAGGAAAGATGGATTCCTATAACTCCACGTGCATCCAGTGGTTTTCTTGTTTCGGACCGTAATTCGTCATTGAGTTCTACATTGGTAACATCCTAAATCCCAATAAATTACCTTAAAGTCTGTTGATTTAGAATTAGAAACTGTTTCTGGTTCCGAAAAATCTTGTGTTTCATTCACTTTACGTCCAGATTACCACGATGACCAGGGTCTACTTTGTCTTCCAGTTTCTTCAGTTAGCGGTATTTTGGATGAAATTTACCGTGAGTAATTATTAAAATAATTTCTTGACAATTAGGTGTAGAATATGCCGAAACTGGGTTACAAAAAAATTTTTGGATCACAGAGATGTGTTTACTGAAAATTTTTCATTTGATATTGACGATAAACTGCTTCTGATGTTAGTTTCACTAAATGAAAGATATTGCTATCAAAACAAACTTACTTACTTACTTACTTACGCCTGTTACTCCCAACGGAGCATAGGCCGCCGACCAGCATTCTCCAACCCACTCTGTCCTGGGCCTTCTTTTCTAGTTCCATCCAATTCTTGTTCATTTTTCTCACATCTATCTCCATTTCCCGGCGTAATGTATTCTTTGGTCTTCCTCTCCTCCTTCGACCTTGAGGATTCCATATGAGGGCTTGTCTTGTGACGCAGTTGGGTGTTTTCCTCAATGTGTGTCCTATCCACTTCCAGCGCTTCTTCCTGGTTTCTTCCTCCACTGGGATCTGATTTGTTCTCTCCCACAGTAGGCTGTTGCTTATAGTGTCCGGCCAGCGGATCTGAAGTATTTTGATGGAGTTTTGTTCTCTGAGCTGGATGGTTTGGTCGTGGAGCTTTCATCGTTCTTCTGAACGACATCATCAGCACAAAACTCCATCAAAATCATCCACCTGAGCTACAAATCTTCTCCACCATCTCAGGATCTGAAGTATTTTGCGTAGACAACTGTTAATAAACACCTGTATCTTTTGGACGATGGATTTCGTAGTTTTCCAGGTTTCCGCGCCATACAGTAGAACTGTCTTGACATTTGTATTGAAAATTCTGACTTTGGTGTTGGTTGCTAATTGTTTTGAGTTCCAGATATTCTTCAGTTGTAAATGTGCTGCTCTTGCTTTGCCAATCCGTGCCTTCACATCTGCATCAGATCCACCGTGTTCATCGATGATACTGCCCAAATATGTAAAGGTTTTTACATCTTCCAAAGCTTCTCCGTCAATTGTGATTGGATTGGTGCATGCTGTGTTGTATCGAAGAATCTTGCTTTTCCCTTTGTGTATATTGAGACCTATTGCTGCTGAGGCTGCAGCTACACTGGTTGTCTTCTCCTGCATTTGTTGTTGCGTATGCGATAGAAGAGCCAGATCATCTGCGAAGTCTAGATCATCCAATTGCATCCTAGCTATCCACTGTATCCCGTGCTTACCTTCAGATGTTGATGTCTTCATGATCCAGTCGATCACCAGGAGAAAGAGAAAGGGTGAGAGTAAGCAACCTTGCCTAACACCGGTCTTTACTTCAAACGACTTTGTCAACTGTCTTCCATGCACGATTTTGCAGTTTAATCCATCATAGGAATTCTGTATGATATTGACTATCTTCTGAGGCACGCCGTAGTGTCGAAGAAGCTTCCATAGGGTTGTTCTGTCCACGCTATCAAATGCTTTTTTGTAGTCGATGAAGTTGATATGGAGTGATGAATTCCATTCAATTGATTGTTCCACAATGATCCGTAGAGTTGCGATTTGGTCTGTGCACGATCTATCCTTACGGAATCCTGCCTGTTGGTCTCGAAGTTGGGCGTCTACGGAGTCCTTCATCCTGTTTAACAATACTCTGTTGAAAACTTTTCCTGGTATTGAAAGAAGAGTGATTCCCCTGTAGTTGTCACAGTTGCTGAGATCGCCTTTCTTTGGTATTTTGACTAGAAGTCCTTCTTTCCAGTCTCTCGGTACCTGTTCCTCATCCCAGATCTTTCTGAAGAGAATGTGGAGTATCCTTGCAGTTGCCGCTACGTCTGCTTTCAGTGCCTCTGCTGGAATGCTGTCTAGTCCTGCTGCTTTGCCACTCTTGATTTGTCTGATAGCCATGCTGATCTCTTCAATTGTTGGTGCTCCAACATCAATTGGGAGGTCCGTAAGTGCTGCTTCGATGTTGGGTGGGTTCAGTGGGGCTGGTCGATTCAAGAGTTCTTTGAAGTGTTCTACCCATCTGTTTCGTTGTTCTTCAATGTTGGTGATTATCTTGCCTTCCTTGCTTTTCACTGGTCGTTCTGGTTTACGGTGATTTCCAGAGAGTTTCTTTGTTGTTTCATACAGTTGTCTCATGTTTCCTTCTCTGGCAGCCTTTTCCGCCGTCAATGCCAAATCCTCCACATATTTACGTTTGTCAGTTCTGATGCTCCTTTTCACTTGATTGTTTACTTCTGTGTATTCAGCCTGTGCCTTGACTTTTTCTGCTCTTGTTCGACTGGTATTGATTGCTGCCTTCTTGTTTCTCCTTTCTTGAATCTTATCCAGTATATCAACCGTGATCCAATCCTTGTGATGGTGCTTCTTTTGGCCCAGAACCTCATGACACGTTGAAGTGATTGCTTCTTTTATCTCTTTCCAGTTGCTCTCCATAGTAGTTCCTTCTCCATTGAGTAGATCATGTAAGGCTTGGAACTTATTGCTGAGGGTTATCTTGAATTTATTGAGTTTGTCAGTATCCCGAAGAAGAGCCGTATTAAATTTTTGTGATATTGTCCTCCCCGTTGTCCAGTTCCTCTTGAGTTTCAATTTCATCTTAGCGACCAGCAAGTGATGATCTGATGCTATATCAGCTCCTCTCTTTGTTCTCACGTCCTCCATCGTCCTCCTGAACTTTTTGTTGATGCAGATATGGTCGATTTGGTTCTGTGTGCTGTGATCCGGTGAAGTCCATTTGGTTTTGTGTATGCGTTTATGTGGGAATATAGTCCCGCCTATGACCAGTTTATTGAAGGCACATAGATTTGCAAATCTCTCACCATTTTCGTTCCTTTCTCCGAGTCCGTGTCGTCCCATGATCTCTTCATATCCGGTGTTGTCAGTTCCAACCTTGGCATTTAGGTCTCCCATTAGAATAGTCAGGTCTTTTGTTGGGCACTTCTCGACGATTGACTGCAGCCTATCGTAGAATTGATCTTTAGCGTCTTCGTTGTATTCGTTGGTAGGCGCATAGCATTGGATGACGTTCATTGTAATCCCCGTTTTCTTGGTTTTGAAGGAGGCTTTGATGATCCTTGGTCCATGAGATTCCCATCCTATAAGTGCATTTTGTGCTTGTTTGGACAGCATCAATGCAACTCCTTGTGTATGTGGGGCATTTTCTTGTTCATGTCCGGAGTATAACAACAGCTCCCCTGAAGCTAGTCGTTGTTGTCCAACTTGCGTCCAATGTGTTTCACTGATCCCAAGCACCTCTAAATTGTATCTCCTCATTTCTGCAGCGATTTGGAAAACTCTCCCAGTCTCCCACATTGTGCGAGCATTCCATGTACCTAAGTAAATGGTTGCTCTGGTTGTCAGAAGGGGCATCGGCCTCGTGACTTCCGAAGAAACTCGGCTTTCATCGTGAGGCGTCATAATTCTTATAAACGAAGACCTTCTGACTCCCAGGGCAGAGTTTAAATGGTTTGAATAATTCTTTCTGGTTAGCGTTTTTTCAGCGAGTTAGTTTTCTACGGGATGGGGTCGCTAACCCCATACCCAACCCTCCTCCTTTATCCGGGCTTGGGACCGGCAGTAGCCCCCGGAAAGGGGCTCCAGGCGGAGTTCAAAACAAACTACTTTAACGTAATTAGGCGATGTCTGCATATTTGGAACAGATGCAGGACTTTAGACTTATCATGCAACAGCATTACGTTTCATTCGACCACACACTTCCTATCATCAAAACATCACGTTTTGTTGAGTGGTATGTTTTACGTAAAACCGCTGCATTTATGCAAAGATAAAAACTAACTGTACACTAATTAACAGTTTTCGTGAAAACCCCCCCATCTATAGTAGATTCCGCTTTCGCATGAGATGATTGTTCAATCGTAATTTAAATGCTATATAAATCTAGTTTTTTTGTGTACTGCATCAGTCTTGTTCTAGGTTTTCTAATAATACAGAAGGCATATCAAAAGCGACTTTTTGAGATGAACTACTCACGAAATTTTGAGAAATATTCTGTCAATGTATCTACTAATTACCATGAATTCATCCTTATTAAGATATTTCTTAACTTTTTTCACATTTAGTGTACTATCTGTTTATATTTGGATACAAACCATTTCATGTAGACCACAGAACACCTCTCTATTTATGCCTCCCTCCAGTCAATTCATCTATGCATCAAAATGCAACCTCCCAACCAATCATAGTCGGTCATGCTGGTGCCGGTGTAAAACGTGCACATTATGGTAAAGGGCTTCAATGGCCTGAAAACACAATATGCGCCTTTCAACGTGCTGAGCAACTTGGAGTAACAATGGTAGAATGTGATGCGAATATCACAAAAGATTCTGAAGTTGTTTTACACCACAACTTCACACTAGGAGTATGTGAGCAACCGAAAAAATCTGAAAACGATCCACCAACCTTCATTTTAGAACATAAAAGTAAGTTAGTTTCTTTCTAGTATACTGGTTAAACTGTATTTATTTTGAGGATTATTAGTGTCGAGTCCGAATTGTTCTAGACAAGAAAGTAGCAATAACTTATTGAAAAAGCACCAGATCATCGAAGTATGTGGATTAGTAAACTGAAAGTACTTTACTTATCAAATGAATACTGTGTCTAATGAGCCTGAGGAAGAAACTTTTTATCTATTTAGATTGTTTTTGATACTTTATGATAAAAATATATTCAACAAGAAATAGAAAGACCAACGTAAAGTAACAGTCCACACTTATATTGCTTAAAAAGTGTTATCTTTAGGGAAACTTCTCTATGGTCTCTACAGTCTATGTTTGCATTATTTACGTGATATTAACAGCACGTTATTTAACCTGATTTAAATAAGTTAATTACATGAATCTATAGCAATTTTTATTCCTCTGGTACACGATTAATGAAATTGGTTTAATATAAGCAATCTTTTCCGCCCGATTCACCTTGAAAATGAAAGCAGCAAAAGCGATGAGAAAAAACTAGCAATGGTGATTATAGTTAAAACCTTTAAATGCAAAGAAAATTTTGTTTCGTGTACCTTTTAAAGTCGTTTTTCACCAGTGCTTGTTTGTAATTTTTATCTGAGTTTTCCTATTTTTTATGTTTAAAGCTGATAGTGTAGTAAATGAAAATAGCACAGATCTGATTGTGAACTACCAATTATCTGAAATTCGCAACTTGTTGAGAAAGGTCAATGGAACGATCGGCTGTGCAAACATTATCCAAAGTCAGTATCCTAGTCCCTTAACAATGAGTGACCCTATTCCAAATATTCATGGTAAAGAGGCTGAACCAATACCGTTATTAAAAGACGCATTCTACCAAACTTCTACAAATCTAAGCTTTAACGTAGAGCTAAAATATCCCATAGAAACTCCATATAATCTAATTGCTGAAGCATTAATTAAACATAAACCTGTCGAATCTTCTTTACCAACACCGTCCTCATATTTCTATAAAATCAACAAATTCTGCGATACAATATTAGATGTAAGTAATTTAGTATACTTGGACTTTTCTCTATGTTATTTATTCAGTCTGTTGTTTCGGTAAAAGACTTGACAGTGATTGAGCTTTTCATCACTTTATTCAGTACGTTAAAATATCTTTATTTAGTCTGAAAACATATAACAAGTAAATATTAAAGCTTAGAGGAAACCGCCCTGAGCCTAAAATTTTCATTACAACTGAAGATTTCTTTCGAGAACACTTCGTCACTGACTTGATAATTCCTTACATCCCATAATAAATCAGTACCAAGCGACTGATGAACTCAATTTTTTTTATTTTATCAGTTTGAGAATCTACTTTACTAAATTAATGTCTCGTAGTTTATTGTGAAATTAAATAGCGATGTAATAAAAGTTTTACTCATGTATTTGTCGAATCATTGTGAAACTTCAAATGCAACAGTCTTCATAAAAAACCTTAAATAAAGGTGATTATGTTCACTAGTGATTACAAGAGGTATGTAGTTCACGTGAGAAGCTGTGACCACAGGTCCAGTCTAGCTAAACTTAAATACTACCAATGGCAAGGGTTCGAACCCCGTCCCACCTACATCAGTTTGGGCGACCGGGTACTATCATTACCCCTCACACCCAAGTACCTGTTAAATGCGTTAATTTAATTACAGATACAATGGTCCAGACTGATGCTTGTCGAATTAACTAAACTTATAGAAATCATCCTTTGGATGCCAACTCAGCGGCCATAAGCTTAGTAAGTACTTCCTGAGGTCAGAAGGTTGGATGAGATTATTATTCGGCTTCATTTAGGATTAAAAACAGAAAATGTCTTTTTGCCCCTAACTCCATATATGATAAGTGATATGCAACAACTCGTACTTAGCACTATATAAGCTGTCCTTGTCCCAGTTCAGACACTCTCTAATTAGAAGTTACACTATATACAATTGGTTGATAGACCACTTAGCACACTGGATCGTGTCAGGAAATAAATACTGGTTAAACTTAATTCATAAAAAATGACTTGATCGCTAGTCTTTGTGATTACAAGACAAAATTTTGTTTTGATTTGTTGTTACGCACAATTTATTGTTAACATGAAATTATCCTTTAGTGCTTTTCAGTTTCCCCACTTAATAAAAAATCTTAACGGCCCGTACTATTTATCAAACAATAACACTTGTTTTTTCCCTTAACAGACAATATGGTCACACGCTGGACCGAGATACGTTATACTATCTTCATTTAATCCTGACGTATGCTTGGCTTTAAGGTTAAAGCAATCTTTTTTACCAGTCTTGTTTATTTCCCGTGGTGGTTATCCGAATGATAGTAGTCACAAGTCAGATCCACGACACTACAACATATTCTCTGCAATAAGTTGGGCACATATAATGAACTTAAATGGGATTGTTACAGTGGGACATCATTTCGGTTCGACAAATGATGTGGATGAAAGGCAGATTAAATATCTAAGAGCAGATTTAGAGAGTAAACAGTTATCTTGTTTTGTGTATGGTGATGGTGTGTCTGAAATCAGTTTTTATAGAAAAGCATCACAACTTAACTTGACTGGAGTAATAGTTGATCGATTAGATGAATTTATGCATATGTACTATGAACAATGCAAAACAAGCACGCAATTCGAGTCTCCAAACCCTTAATCATTTTCATGAATTTTAAACACATATTTAATTAATAGACAGTTTGTACAATTAACTGTTTTTCTGTAAAAAAATGTTTACTGGTATAAAGACAATTTAGTTAAAGATCACATGTATATTTAGTTACGTACTTTTTTGTGTAATACGTAAAAGTTTGGACATAAAAATCTCATAACGAACCTCTAAGAAATATTTACATATGAAAAGTAGAAGTTAGTGAACGTAAATAATTGGAAGTTTAGATGCACTGGAAGACTATTTTATCACACAAAGCAACTGTTAATGCTTTTGGGCACTTTTGATTCGATCTAGTCTTCGTTTCAAATCCATTAGTTCAGTGGTGGACATAGTAGGCCTTTGTTCTGTTTCAGGTTGAATATTTTCATCAGGAGAATCGCCTTTTGGTTGAACCATATTCTGAAGAATAAAATTTTATTTGTTATGCATGATTTAAAGTTAATCTCATCAGAAATCACCAATAAATCTTGTGCTATTACTGACAACTTATATTTCAAATCACTGTTTCGAAAATACAGATGATCAGTTGGAGACCGTAGCGAAGATCTATCACACTACATGTATACTCAGAAAATAAACCTCAAAACTGCTACAGCACGCTATAACAAACAAACAGACACTCGACAATTACATGTTAGTTGTTGCACTACTTCACATGTTTCTACACAAGCAGTCGAATCCAAGTGAATATGAACGAGAAGAACAATTTGAATTCTACATAAAAGTTTCAGAAATAATTGCAACTGGTTTAGTTTAATTTTATCCAGCTCAGTTTAGGCAGTAATATCGTAACGTAATCTTTCTAATTCCAAATAGAGGCCAGTACAAATGATTTTTTTCAACTTAATTTGCACGACTGTTATTAAACATGGGTTCAAAGTCTGATCAACACACACTATTTAATAAAAAATTTCAAAAGCCCAGAATTAGGTTAAAAAAGTTAGATAATTGTTTTCATTAAGTAAAATTAGTTATAGTCAAATGCACTGTGCAGTTTTCACAATCCGCTCCACGAGGTCACTCTATGAACAATTTTCAAATCTAATTAAATAAACCTTCCCCAACTAGTTCGCCGGAGCAAAATTTGTGTGAATTTCATCAATCAGTCAGTAACAACGTGGAACTTTGTACGTACGTGCATCAGTTCGAGTTGCCACACCACATCAACACAGAGATTCAGTTATCGATTCAAATCCCGTAGTGGTAGAGGTACTGAAAGTATAAGTAGTGATATGGAACATTAGGGTTTGATGATGTTATTCAAGGAGTATAATCCAGTGGAATATATTTGGAAAGAAAATAAAAGACATGAAGAATACAGAAGATTAGAGTTTGAGAGAACACAAAGAGTGGATGCACCTGCGCCATTGCAAACGATTTTGAGCCATGTCATTCAAGGTCTCTAACCATTGGCTGCTATCATCTCGCGGTTCCCAACCAGATAGTCTACACCTACCAACATGGCTCAGTCCACTTGTCAATGAACGTCCATTGAAGAAAGTTAAGTCAACATTGAAAGTTGAACAAATAGGATAGCAAAAAATATCGACAAATAACGATTGAATTAAGTGATTCTTATGACAATTGTGTCTAGTCCAAACCTGTTATTTTGTGTTCAGTTGGGAGTATTTTCTTACTGGTTTTTGTTGATTGATTGGAAGTGCAAGAAGCATAACCAATACATTTTTACTTGTGAAAAGCACACGGATATAATCAGGTTTCGCATAGCTACTTACATTTGAAATAGACTTACTCGAAGAGTTGATTCAAAAGCCGTATTTTGTATTCCAGCTTCATCAGATGGCCCAATATTATCATCAATGTTCGTTGTGGATACACCACCAAGACCCAGTTCTCTTCGTAGCATCGCCAATCGATTCATAAATACTTTGGGATCAGTTAGTTGGCCATTGGAGATATCTGCATCAAAATCTGGATTCCAATTAGGACGCGCTAAAATGCCATTAGTCTGTCAAAACATAAGTACAGTGTACTAGACATGAAATTTGGAATCCACACGATGATAACAGTAATAGGTAAAGAGCATAATTATAGAATTCATTATGTGGCCGTAGTTTTCAAGCATAACAGCTTATTGTTTAAAGTGAGGAAAGCAGATATCGATTTCATTCAGCAACAATTGATTGTAAGATAATTTCTACTATCGGATAAGTTTCGAAAATAGAGACAAAGGTCTCTAATTTCGATGCGGTAGTTCGTTAAGTGTAATTTGATAATCAAAAACAGATTTATGTATGTACGTTCAATTTTTAGTCGCATTTTATTGTACACTGTTGTGACTTTGTTTGTTTTTGTTCACCTTATGTTTGTATGTAACCATGATGACTAAGAGTATCTCCCATCTATTCAAATCGATGTAGGCGGGGCAAGGTTCCAAAAGGTAACCCATGAGTTGACTTTACCGCTGGGCAAACGTCCCAGATTGAAGACTATCAACAAGAGTAAACTCTTGTAAACAAATCCCTCAAGATCGTAGTACATCTTTTAGTTTTTAAGCGAATAATAACTAAAAAAATGTAACTAAAGTACTTACTTGATGAGCTGCTAATGTGTTTGGTTCTTTGTCATTTACATTTAGTCTAGCCTGACGGGCGCGTTCAACAGCTATATTTCGTAAAGCTTGTTTTATGTAGGCTTGGAAAAATTGGCTTGTGTTTGTTAAATATGATGATAAATCTACATCTGGATATAGCTGGGTAAAATCATATAGTTCGTTTAAACCCTGGTGGAAAAATAGAAAGTGAAGACAGCACGTGTGAATGAACTATTGACAATAGTGAACATCTATTGACCTGTATTAAATGTAACTATTTAAGGTAGGAAACCAATGAAACAATATACCAACATATTTTTTAGATTCAAAATTAACTTGAACAAAATATTTACACAACTGGGATAGGACTATCGTTGAGATATTGTTTAAATCAAGATAAACATAATGCAAATGTGCTATAGTAACAATTTCAGGAGACTCAACAGCTGGTTTCTTACATATAGATGAAGATAGGTTACCACAGAGCTCAAGCCAACAGTAAGATGTGATTTAATCGGCTGTCCTGTATCCCGATATTCATGTTCCTGGGCGTCAGGCAGTTCGGTTTAGTGGGTAAATATCTGTTCGATTATTTTAGTTGCATATTCAACAATCTTCATTAAATCCACCATTTAACTCAACTAATAGCCAGCAACTGTTCAAATATTTACATAAGATAATCTGCCAAATAAATAATGAGTAATTACTTCATCAGGTTTCTTAGATCCGACCTTCTTGAATATTTCGGTTAATTTCTCGCGAGTTGCAGTAGAAAGTACAAATCCCTATGAAAATATAAGAAGTGTTTTCTAAATTACAAGAAATCAATAAGTAAAAAATTAACAATATGATCAGTGTACATTTTGGCAATTACGTTCACTAAAAAATGGTTCTACAACAATTTACGCAGACTTCCACTCACTCACCATACGACCATTACTAACATGAAACACTAGAAAATAGGTGCTCGCAAAATTTATTCTTGATATAACGGATGGCTTAAAATATTTTTTTAGTTATACTACTACAATAGGTAAATACGATAATGAGATCAGTCATGTTATATCAGAATCCAGGATTCATGAACCAGAACAACACTAGATACTTTATTCAATACAGTCACACTCAGTGAGTCCGGAGTAGAAATAAATACGAGAAAAGGGGATTACATATTTATTAGTCAGTCAGTTATGCATGTTTGTCCAAGCTCAGTGACTGATCACTAAAACATACTAATTCTCCAGACATTAAAAGACTTTAGAAACATGTAAATAGTGACAGAAAGTAACGAAACCATCTAAAGATGCTTGTACTAAACAATATAAGATTTTTTGCTGGAGATATTATATCCGTTTCGTGAGTTATTCTTTAAATGAGAAATATTTAACGTGCTAAAAATAGCAAGTTTCGCAGTAAAGATCCATTTGCGAATGAAAACTAAGACGCCTCTCTTAGACATTTATTGTATATAGAAATAAAAAAAATCTCGAAAGCAGAGAGGACCGTGAATAAACATTTTTTGGGTAGAAAATATCTATATTTATGTTGATTGTAAACCTTCGCGTTTTCTACTTTGACAACAACACATGGAAAAACAGGAAATCCATTCGCGCTTAACAGTCTTTAGTCATAATAACAGAATACCCAATCTATGTGTATATTAAGAAAATAAATTTCGCTTACTTTTGAATGACTTTCAGAGGCCAGTATTTTTTTGGAATCAGAGGTTGTTGTAACTCCTGAAGTAGTTTTTAGTGTACGAATGAGGTAGGACTCCAGTTCTGAATCTTCCTATTAGTATGGAAAAAAGTATGGGTACACTCTAAAGATACTTTTGAAACTTCTTGGTACTTTCAGAGAACCAAAGCAAACTAAGTAACATAAGCATATAGCATAACTTGCTCCTTGTATAGCCAACCGATCTAATACTTCAATTAGTTCCCCAAGTGTAGGGATTATATTGGATCAGAGGTATTTAACTAAAGAAGTCGATAGATCCAGGAATTTCAAGAATTACATTGAAAAGCCACTTGATTTATGGAATGAGAATTTGATGTTTAAAAAATATACAACCATAACAAATTTAAGTTTACTTCTGTCGACGTGAATTTAGGATGGGTATATACACAATACATTACAAAATACCAACATTTTAGTACATATACATTAAAACTGAACCTCAAATGATAAAACATCGTTTGGTATATTGCTTAAAAAGTTTTAATTATTGATCTATTTGAATTAATTTGAACAATACATGAAGAGAGTAATAAAATGACGTAGTTTTTACTAGTACAGGTCGAAAATAGTTAAAAATCCGACCCAGATTAAGAAATATTCAGGGGATTTTTTCTTCTACGATTCTTCAGCAATAAATGCTCATGAAGGAATGTCGAAATCGCGGGAGAAACAGTAACACAAGCAGAGGATGCCAAGTTTGTTTCCGGGTTGTGACACACAATACATCATGTTCTTGAAAAATTTTGAATTTAAAAATGTACTCTTCATGCGTCTACATAATCAATAATGATTTGTAAGCTTTTAAGTATCTTAAGGTTAGATTAATTTAAAACTCTATAACAAAGTATATGAATGCCCAGAAATACCTACCTTATTAGGTATACTTTCCAGAAACTGTAAAATTGATGGACCTTGGAGGCCACATAATACATGCAATAGGGTTTTGATTGTTCTTAAAGGAACATCTGATTTCCGCGCACTCCATGAGGAAGGTGGGAAAGCCTTTAAAAAATGATGACAGTCCAGAAGTATGACATCCACAGAGTAATTATTAACTGATGCCGACAGAAAAAAAAACAGAAATAGAGAAATACTGAAGTTAAATACAACAGAATATGAACATTAAATTATCCACACAAACAACTGAAAAATAATTAAAATTAGTTATATAAAGTAGGTAACAAACGAAAAACCTTACAATGGGAGTAACAAACTTTTATAGGTACATATTTTATAACATATCGGAGCGTATAAATGCATATAATGTTTCTTAAAAATGAATTGGATAGCAAAAAGAAATGAGTGTGTTAAGAATATCGACTTTTGAAATTTATTGACCCAAACCATGTAGATAAGGTTATATATTTTAATCTCAGGTATATGTAGTGTGCTCAGTATTAATTGGGATCCCCAGACCAAAAAAGTAGAAAGCTGATTCATATGTTCACACAGAACAGCAAGTAAAGACAATAGTTTTTCGACGTTAGGTCTGACAAACTACACACGAATGTGATGAGAAGGGGTCAACACTACCAATGTTGTAGATTATGGTTCTGAATTCCTTACGTACACATTTTAGTTGATACGATATATGATTCATAACAACTAACTGTCCACAAAACAGAAGTATTGAGTCAGTCAGCAATAACGAAGAGATATAATTGTCGATTCAAATCCCATAGTGGTAGAGGTAGTAAAAGCATAGGCGGAAATCGGGAAAACTAGGGTTTGAAGATGTTAGTCCAATGAAATTATTAAGTGATCCCCAATCTAGATCAAAACGATAGTAAATACAACATAAGTGTCAGGAAAGGAATTTCCTTTCTAGCAAAATGACCAGACTGTTCGAAATGTAAAGCGCAAATACATCACATTATTCAGATAAACTTCGTCTGCTCATTGCTCTATCGAAATTTATAAAAGGGACTAATTGTTTTAAACTTTTGACAATATTGTTAAAAATCAATCAAGTTATAAGTGAGTGTAAGTTATGCGTTTTAATTGATTATATATTTTCCACTCGATGTAATGAAATTAAGAACTAATTACACAGAATAGTAATTGTTATCTATGCCAATCAAATACTGTTACTATTACATAATACGAGAACGAAAGTTTGCCACAAATGGCTTAAATCTTAACATATATAAAAAGTAAGTTGAAGTGAAAGTGTTTATTAGTAAAACCTGAGGTGAGAGTTGTCGTTCATGAAAGTTATTTGAGTACATTGCAGTCTTTTCAAAAAACCTTTAATCTTAGATCAACATCAATGAGTAAAATGCAAACTATACCAGTTAGCTTACATTGGACAGAAATATTGTGAGATAAGGTGGTGGAAGTGTAGAACCTTCATTTACTTGATTGATATCATTGAGAAAATAAATGTCTGAAACCAAATCAGAACAAGCAACCACTATTGAGAAATACCTCAATTAACTATACGCTACAATGTTCAATAAACTTACATGCAGTATTCATTCCCTTGGTAATACGCCATATACTTTTGAGGATAGCTTGTGTGAATCGATTTGTAAAGTGTCCGTTACTGATACACTCATGTAGTAACCGAATGAGCGCACTGTAGCATAAAAAAGAAGTAGTCCAATGGTTGTTAGTAAAATGTACGATATTGTAGTTTTTATAAAAATCTGTCTTTAGCGATAATGTCTAACTTAAACACTCATATAAAATAAACATCACTCTTTAATAAAATTAGCACACAAGTGAATCGGATCTAATCTGTACGTCTCATTGATTTAATTCCCCAATAAAATATTGAATTGAATTTGTGTAGCGAATAAACAGAATTACAAATAACATTACACTTTTATTTGCACTACATGAATACGTTACTTGAACGGACACTGCAGGCCTAAACCACTTTAGATTCAAGTTCACTAATTATTTAAACACCATTTCAACAGTTGGGACGGCAACAGCACTGCAAACAATAATATTCTTGGCGAGCCAATAGCATAAACAGTAGAGGTGAATATTTATCATGCAATAACACATGCTGAACGCACCACTAACAGCTGGAAAAACGCTTTGAAAATAACATCTCATAAAGGGGAGACAGAATCGAACAGATAGGCTCTCATGAAAACGGAATAAGAGACCAGTAATGAAACGAAAATATGCGTGAAAGGTAAATTGATCGTGTTTATATTTATTTGGACTGTATGATTACAGTATTACTACTACAGTCCAATGTTCTCACTGCGCCAATGGATATAGAATTAAGTAAAGTGGATAAAAAAACAGCAAAGTATAACCGAAAAATACTCATATTTCTGGTAGATGAAGTTCACAGTTACAAATAAATATATATTATCGAAAACTGGAAGTAAATAATATACCTGAGTATACGTGTTCCATTGGAAGCCTCTAAAATAAGAACAAATAGTGCATTGATCGATCTGATAACATTTTCTCCACTGGACATTTCAGCAGTCCTTTCATCCAACATCATTTGAAGGAGAGACTGGGATAATTCTCTTAAAGTTTCCCGTGAAGCTTCGCGACCTAATGTTGGACGACTAAAAAGCTGTGTAAAAAGACAGTAAGTTAAATTTTTAAGTTAATTAAAAACACTGGTTATTAAGGGAAAAGGAGAAAAAGATTATGGGTAAAACTTACACAGAAAGGTACCTATGTATGTTTGTACAACATAATAATAGAAATGTAAAATAAACAAACATTTAGATTTCAACGAAATTCAAAGTAGACGAAATTGATTTCATTTAGATTGTCAAGAATTTACAGCATATGGCTTTGAAATTAATGAGTTGATTTAAGAAGCTCATAAGCTAATACACAGGTCTCAGACCAACGTTAAGTGCCTTTATCAATGTCTTAACTTCTAGCTTAATGGCTTTATGACAACATAGCAAACTTGTATTTAGTTTGTGAGATGTCTTTAGTAAAAAAGTAGAGATTATTGAACTTACAGATTCAATAGTGGCCAAATGAGACCGAATTAATGTATGCAACTGCTCCTCTGAAACTGAAGGATCTCCAAAATATCGCGAAGTAACTTGGCGTAACTGCATTGTAATAAGCATCAGGACTTGATTGACATGATTGAGTAAAAGGTACCACTTTTCATCTAGATTAATAAAAGTGAAGAGATATGTTATAGTGTAATTAAAAAATAAATAATTACTCAATATGAATAATATATGAATTAGTGGAGTACGCTTATGCGAAAATATTCAGTACTGCAATGTATCTAAACATGACAAACTTCAAGTCACTAAAAAACACTATGAAGGTTTAATTATTAATATTATTTAAACACATAAACACTGATACAAAGAGGCACCAAATAGATATGCACCACGTAAACCACTCGATTTGTATGAGGGCTGGAATTTATTTATTTATTTTAACACATAAGTATAGGTACAGGGAGGCACCAAATACATATGCGCCACACAAATCTCAATTGATTTGTGTGAGGGCTGTGATACTGCCCGGGTGCCCAAACCGAAGCAGGGAATACTGCCAGACAGCCCAAACCAAAGCTGACAGTTTTCTAAGAAGACCACTCTTTGAGGTCTAATCCACAGGGCAGTGGAGCAATGTTAGGAGATTCAGTCCCCTGGTAGCTGGTGATCAATGATTAGTTTATGCGCCATCTATTCTCTCAGGATCCTGGAACCCATGTACACCATTGGTTTGGAACCAGGGCTTTCCGACTCCCTTAGGTGGATCCTCCATATCCACCAACCTGGTTAAAGCGCCGGAGATTCGATTTTCGTCCTCACGATTTCGTAAACAACAGCATAGCCGCGAGAAGAATCGATGGAATTATAAAACAATTTTACACTGATAATATAACTGAGGAAAAAATGTGAAAGTTATTAAAACCGTACCTCTAAGAACAGTGTCGATTTCTGCCAAAGCATGACAACTGATTAGTAAATCATTGGAAGATATAGCCGTTACGACCATTGTGATCGCAGAAGCAGTATCAGGACTTGTTCGTAACAGTGCATTGAGAACAGGCTGGCGCACGTGTGCTCTAAAAACGATATAAACCCATGACAGTGGAATACATATAAAAGAATAAAATTAAGATAGTTGTTCACTTGAATGAAAATACCAAAAGTAATAGAAAACATCGTGAATACTTACTTCAATGCTGGAATTTCAACTGGTTGGAAGAGATCATTTATATCAGCATCCAACTGAATAAGTGGAGGCATACATGGAGCTTTCTCAGGTGATAAATCACCTAGTTCATTCAACATAGCACGCGCTCTAGCATGAGCCGCAGAAACCGGTTGCTGACGGCGAAATTCGTTAGGAACAGGCTCTAGAGGATTACGTGAATCTGATGGATCGCTGATATAAAAATGAAATGGATAAACAAATATTAGTGTATGCGTGATTGGAAAATAAGAAACAGAAACAAATCCGAATTACTACTTATAATACCACCTCACACAGATTAATTTATAAGAATTCATGATAGAACTATGCAGAGAAATACACAGATGTTTCTAGTATTCTTTAAAATAATAAGATACTAGATAGGGTGTCGGCAGAAAATAAAGTCGTACTCTACATTCAGGAATATTTCAGAGATAACCGTTCGATTGAAAAAAAAGTAAATAAGAGTGAAATTTAACGATTAGATAACAAACGTTAACTTTGAAATACATACCGTCTTGCAGTGCTCGGTCTTACAGACGGTGTTTTTGGTTCAAAATTATCTACAGTATTGATTGGCATTTGCCCAGCTCGTTTGATACGTTCTTCCAGCATTGAACGTTCTTTTTCTGGTATCTGAGACAAACGAAGAACGTGATAATACATGACTACAATGGTACACAAACATGTGAATCACAAGTATGCTATTTTAGATGGGATAAGATATGACCTAGAAATGGGGAACGGAACGAAAGTCAGCATCACAACAACAGGACAAGCTAAGCTATCCCACTGTGCCCCAAACCATCAGCAACAACCTACTGTGTTAGAGAACAAACCAGCTTTCAACCGAAGAGGTATGGCCGAGAGTGGGGAGAGCCCACTCTCCCTCTCGAAATACTCTCACATGGCCACGCGTATACAGCCTCTACCAGGGAAGTCCTACTCACTGCCTTCACGTGACGGGGGTGATGTTTACGAAAATGAGAGGACGAAAAGCGAATGTCCGGCGCTATAACCGGATTATAAATCAATGGTGCACATGGGCTCCAGTATCCTGAGGGAACAAATGGCGTATGAACCAATTTCTTGGTCACCGGCTTCCATGGACTGCATCTCCTCACGATGCTCCACTGCCTTGTGGATCAGATCTTCAGGTCGAAGGCTCTGGGTGTGGCCCCCTAAGAAAGCCATCTGCTTCGGTCTGGGCACCCGGGCAGTATCTCAGACCACACACTAAAACTATGATGAACTATCTGCTTATAGAAAATATTCGTTTCCCTCCGACTAACATTGAAATGACTGGTATTATTATTATTATTTACTACGTCATTTATTCACTATCTCCTATTTCTACCTTTTGTATCCGTTTCGACTCACACAGCAGCTCGCCTATGGTGAAAATTCAGCTTTATCTAAACGTTCTCGAGTCACTGCCTGGTTGAAAATTGTATGTTACCACCGAATATGAGTACCAAAGCAGTTTCTCTGAAACCATGTGCACCATTCAAACTGGCTGCCTTCAACGTTCGCACACTTATGCAGGTCGGACAACAGATAGGGCTGGCTATGTCTTTGGAAAGTCTTAATATTGATGTGTGTTGTCTATCCGAGACCCGTATTCAAGACCCTGGTGAAGTACTACAAGTTCGCTCTCCATCTGTCACTTCAAAAAGCTTGTTTTATGTGCGTTTATCCGGGGACCCTGTGGCATCTTCGTCTGGTCTTGCTGGCGTTGGTGTCGCACTAAGCGCAAGAGCTGAGGCAGCATTAGTCGACTGGATCCCCATTAACAGTCGGTTATGTGCTGTTAGATTAGAAAGTTCCATCAAAGTGAAAAGAAATCGGCGTGAGAAACGATGTCTTTTCGTCATCGCCTATGCCCCGACAGATTGCAGCCCGGATGCAATCAAGGATGAATTCTACCACCAGTTATCTGTTCTTCTCCAGAAAGTGAGTTCGACAGATATTGTAGTACTAGCCGGAAACTTGAATGCGCAGGTCGGGCGTCTAGGCACAGATAACGGGGAACGTCTACTGCAACTATGCACAGACCACAACCTGTTTCTGGCTAGCACTAACTTTCGGCACAGTCATCGCCGATGTGCCACCTGGCGTCCTCCTTCTGCATCACAAGCCTGGACTCAGATTGATCACATCGCGATCAGCTACCGCCGGCGTTGATGTGTACAAGACTGCCGCTCCTTTTTGAGTACCTATCTGGAATCTGATCATGCACTGGTCGGTGCCAATCCTTCCTTACTTTTCAGTGGACAAGGAGGTGACCGCCACCAAAGAATTGACGTTAGCAAGCTGGTTGCAACCTCTGTTCCTAGAAACTATCAAACCGAGCTAGCTTCCATTCCACCGAAAAGTACAGATGAGCATTGGTTGCAATTGCATGACGCCATCAAAATGGCGAGTCAAGACGTTGTGGATTCACGAAACGTTCCGCTTATAAGCACTGGGATTCTTCTGGTACCTTACAACTCATTGAAGCCCGTCGGTCTACTCCGGGTGAACGTGAGTTTGACCACAGACGAAGGATGTTACGTACTAAAATCGGGCAAAGCTCGCGTAACGTAAGGACCGAGAAGCCTGGTGGTCAGAGCGTGCTAATGACCTGAAAGCAGCAGCTGCATCTGGTAATTACTGGAAGCTCTTCCAACTCATCCGAGCCACTGGCAGCAAGAAGTCTGGTGTGAGCGAAACAATCTGCGAGGATGACGGAACGCCAGTCACTAACATCCATCGACGTCTTGGACGATGGGCGGGATTCTTCGATGGGCAGTTCAACTGGTCTACTGCTCCGGAAACATCGGTCAGACTATCCTGCCCTCCATAGCCGGTGACGACTGATCCACCAAATGAGGCGGAAGTCCGCAAGGAACTCCAACTCTTGAAACGTTACAAATCACCGGACCCAGACGACTTACCTCCGGCTCTTTTTAAAGATGGTGGTGACTTTCTGACTCAGGGACTGACGACGTTGTTTGCAAAGGTCTGGGAACTAGAGAGTGTACCAACGTCATGGAATGAGTCGATAGTTGTCCCTATCTTTAAAAAGGGTTCACTTGGTTCCTGTAACAACTATCGGGGGATAAGTCTACTTCCGATTGCGTCCAAGCTATTGGCTTCCGTTATACTTCGTAGGTTGTTCAAAACCCGAGAAAGATTGACTCGCGAGGAGCAGGCTGGGTTTCGTTCCGATCGAGGATGTATTGATCATATCTTCACCCTCCGCCAAATGTTAGAACAACGCCATACTTATCAAAGGCCAACAATCGTAGTGTTTCTTGACATCAGGGCTGCCTTCGATTCGTTGGACAGAACTGTTCTCTGGGATTGTCTATTGAAGAAGGGTGTGCCTGAGAAGTTTATTAACATCCTAAAAGCCCTATACGCAAACACCTCAGGCAGAGTGAGGGCATACAATCACCTTTCTCCATTGTTCCATTCAAGCAGTGGGGTTAGACAGGGTTGCCCAATCTCACCATTCCTCTTCAACTTTGCCATCGATGACATTCTGGAAACAGCTCTGACGGATGTAAGTAATGGTGGTATGGATCTGTTGCCTGGAGAAAGACTTCTCGACCTTGAGTATGCGGATGATATTGTCTTACTGTGCGAGAATGCCCAAGTCATGCAATCCTCAATTAATCAGTTGGTAATCAGAGTCCGTAGGTATGGTATGTGCTTTGCACCTTCGAAGTGTAAAGTACTTTTACAAGATTGGCAGGATTCTAATCCTGTACTCACTCTGGATGGTGAGCAGATAGAAGTGGTCGAGAAGTTCGTGAATCTGGGTAGCTGCATAAGTGCTGTTGGTGGCGTGAGTGATGAGATCAATGCACGTATAGTGAAAGCCAGAGCGACTTATGCCAATCTGGGCCATCTTTGGCGCCTTCGTGATGTTAGTCTGGCTGTAAAAGGTCGGATCTACAACGCGTCGATGAGAGCAGTTCTGCTCTGTGGTTGTGAAACCTGGCCTCTCCGAGTTGAGGATGTTAGACGACTCTTTGTGTTCGATCATCGCTGTCTCCGAAGGATTGCTAACATCCAGTGGCAACACCATGTTAGTAGTGCAGAGGTTCGGCATCGTGTGTTCGGGCTCACAGACGATAATGCAATTGGTGTCACCATCTTGAAACACCAGCTTCGCTGGCTTGAACATGTTCTACGAATGTCGTCCCAGAGAATTCCACATCTTGCATTATTTGCCGACTCTGGGACTGGTTGGAAAAAGCGGAGAGGTGGTCAGTATATGACATGGTGTCGTGGTATGAAAGAAAGCTGCAAAGGGCTGGCTTGTGTTGGTTCTTCACGACTCCCTGGCTGGGGTCCGAGAGATGGTGTAACACAGTGGCTAGAGACGTTATCAGATATGGCTCAGAATAGAAGCCAGTGGCGATCGTGCTGTAACCTTCTTTTACTTTCTTCATAAAAAGTGGCTGTATCCTCCTTAAATGTAAGATTTCTGAGTGTACCTTTTCGTCTCCCCCCATTATTGTTCTTTTTTTAATTTTATAATCCCCTACGTTCCTTACTTTTTTTCCCTTCCTAAATTCTCATTGTTTTGTGTGGTGCATACATATTTGGTGCCCCCTGTACCAATATTTATGTGTTCAAATAAATAAATAAAATAAAATCATCAAACTGGAAAAGATTGTCCAGAACAGAGTTCGATTGAGAATGCTGGTGGGCGGCCTTTGCTTATTCATGAGGGGTAACAGGTGCAAGTAATTATAGATGAAAGTGAAACTTAACTGTCTTAATGATATAATAGAATTAGGAACTGCAATTATTGATGCAAGAGTATAATACAGAGTGAAGCGAGGAATGAGTTAAGATTCTGAGCCAAAATAGTTTGTTCGCTGGTATTTTTGATTAATACTTTCTTGATGAAAAATTTATATTGCTAGCTTAATCCTCGTAGATATAAGTTTGCTAGTTGACAATGTTCCCAAGTGGAATAAAGATCAACTTAACAACGTAGTAATATAGAACTGAAATCTCTTACATCACCGACAACCTTCCATAACTGTTCACCAATAACAGCATACGCAGAAAGTAAAGCATTCAAAGCTGCTGATCGGACTCCGCTATCACGATCACCAATTTGTTGAGCGATCAATTTGACTGCGACAGGAATAGAAGGCTGGCAAACATTTAGTCCAAAACGATCAATCAGAGAACCCATCTCATCCAAGCACTCTAAAACGAAAAATAATTAAGAATCAACAGGACAGTAAAATAACTGTGAGAAATGATTACTAAACATGATACTTGCTTACGAATGTGGCATACATAAACAACGAAGCTAACCTTGTCTTGTTTTACTTGTCTTGGCCTTAGTCCCATTAGTGAGAAATGTGAATAGACGACTGGGTGGATAGAGATTAACCACAAGTTTTAATATTCCCCGAATATTCTGTCGAATGATGTCTTTAGGTTCACCCACTTTCATTACCAAGTAAGGAAGAAATGAACCACCTTCATGTTCAGAAAGATTTGCTCCAGACTCGGACATAAAAACGAATAATTTTGTTAGATAATCCATACCTGTATTGTCCGAAAGAGGAAATGAGAATAAAACACAATTTAACCTAAATAGCTGTTACAAAGTTTTAGAAACAAGAAATACAAATATCACAGTGATATTTATTACGATAGCTCAAATATTTATGACCTGATTCACATCTTATTTTAGATCAATCTTTACAACGTGTATCTGTAAACAAATACAAGCAGAGATACGGTTGCATAGAACGAAAAACTGACAAAATGTAGAAATGCTAAAATAAAATGAATATAAAGTTTATAAATGAAAGTATATGATGAGTAAGATTTTTGAAGGTAATGGATAAATCGGCGAAACTATAATTTAGGGTAGAACTAATCAGATATAAGATAACAGGTCTTGGATTTAGGCGCGAAATTTATTCATCCATTTGGCTAAATATAGTTTTGGCATTTTTGCTGATGTCAGTTAGTGATGAAAACCTTAAATCTAATTTCTAGCCCTAACCATAAACTGTAAATCACAATTCCAATTCCTCACATTGCTTTATAACCGTCATTTAGTCCCAGTTAGTAGGTGGACAATCGTAAGGTCATTTTAACGTTGCTCAAAGTTTATCCATAAAGTATAGTCCCGCTAATAGATCTATCTACGCTAATGTGAACGATTTTATAGTATATTGACTGAATGCGTAATCATTATTATAAGGACCTTACGAGTGAAGTCTATACTTTTCACACATAATTCATATATTCAGTCAATGATTTCGTAAACTGAATTCGTATCTTTATCTTGTTACAATAATGTTTACCCCCAAATGCCCTGGTACGGCCGAGAGTGGGGAGAGTCCGCTCTCCCTCTCGAAATACTCTCACATGGCCACGCGTATATAGCCTCTACCAGGGAAGTCCTACTCACTGCCTTCTCGTGGCGGGGGTGTTGTTTACGAAAATGAGAGGACGAAAAGCGAATGTCCGGCGCTATAACCGGATTATAAATCAATGGTGCACATGGGCTCCAGTATCCTGAGGGAACAAATGGAGTATGAACCAATCGTTGGTCACCGGCTACTATGGGACTGCATCTCCTTACGATGCTCCACTGCCTTGTGGATCAGATCTTCAGGTCGAAGGCTCTGGGTGTGGCCCCCTAAGAAAACCACCTGCTTCGGTCTGGGCACCCGGGCAGTATCACAGCCCTCACACATATCAAATGAGATCTGTGTGAGGCATATGTATTTGGTGCCTCCTTGTACCGATATCTATGTGTTAAAATAAATTCAATAATGTTTGGTCAACCTATAGTTAACTAATTTAGTCATCTATATCAATATATCTTTTAACTGAGTAATATAGGTTGATAATTTGGATGATTTAAATATTAGTCAATAGTTGACAGAATGATCAAACTGTGCACATCTTCAATTTTGTAGGAAAGTTACCAGCCATATACAAAAAAGAATAACTTAGAGTGAAATCATTAAATTTAATTAAAACTTATTTTGTAGTTTGGGTACCCGTGAAAATTAATTTAGTGGATATTCGTGGTATCAAATTAACTTACATCTGCCTAAAACAACCGGATTAGTTTCAAAGAATCGTAGAACAATCCATCTCAAGATAATATCCACATTTATTACAGTAGCCTCACAGCCTTCAGTGGTATCTAGTAATTGAGAAAGCTGTTCGATCGCCTTAATGTGTTGTTTAAAGTCGGTATGAAACAAAAGTGCATGAAATTCAGGAGCAGTTCCAGCTGCAGTGAATAATGTACTTAATTGTTGTATGTGGTCTTTTGTTGGGGCATCGAAATCCCATTTTAAAAGCTGTAAATTAGAAAAAATGAGTTTTAGAAAAACAAAACGGAAAGGCTTACAAAAAGTAGTATAAATTTCATTGAAATCATGAACCGACCAATATCGAAAACCCGGAAGCACAGGACGGTTGTTTCGTCTTACTATGGGACTCCTCAGCATTGCACACCCACAAACACGCGTTTAGAACTCGAACAAAGGACTTTCGGTCTTGTGCAAACGCTTAACGTATAGACCACTGAGCCGGTGCCCAACGGAGTTAATATCGAATCTTAATCAATCAATGATGTTGAGCAACCATCTTACATTTATTAGAGGATAACAAAATGTTATTTAAATAAGACTATTTAATTTGTTTATAGGAATAACACTGGATATGTAAACCGAATATTTAACATAATCGAATACTTTCATACTTTTTGACTTTAAGTAGTCCAATTTGCGTAACTAGAAAGCCTTGCTGTCATTCACCAATCTGAATCGTCCAGTTAAATTTGTCATTAACTACATAGGTTGTACAAAAGATATTCACATTAGTACCATTTTTTCAGTCATTGCTTTCAATGAGCATCACAAATTTATGCTTGAAATATTATCTATGTATATTTCTCAAAATACAATTCGAAATTACATGTTTCATGCATAGAAATTCAATACGTTAATAGTTTAATGTGTATATTTGGAAATAGACACAATAAACAACAAATGGAACAGAATTACTTAAAAAAGATACAGAACAATTACCTTGCGTTTTTTCTCATCATTTAACCTGGAACTCTTAGCTGACTTATTTGGCGGAAGAATTATGGATGTCGTTGCCAGTTCCGGACCTGACTTTTTAGATGTGTTAATAGACTTTTTATTATCAGCCTTTTTCTTTGTATCGGAAACAGACTTTGACGTATTGCCTGAAGATTGTGTAGCACTTTCAGATTCCTCGCTATTTTCTAAAATTTAATGATTGAAATGAAATAGATGAGATAATCTTTTCTATGAAGCACATAATCCAGCGAAAAATAGATGTCTTATTTATATTTTTCTGTAAAATACATGAAATAAATACCTGGAGTAGTAGCTGGGGCGTTTGAGGAAGGTTGTGGACGTGCTCCATTACCTACACGTACAGCTTTAGGTGGAGAAGCGGTTTTTCTTTCCATGGATGAGGGATGTGAATTAGCTACACTTTCACGAGCTTTCTCCAAATGAGGCATAATCGAATCCTTTGAGGTAGGCTTCAAACGATTGGTAGACTTTAAGATAGGTTCCCAGCCAAAAACTTGTATTAATGAAGGAAGAACTAGTTGGGCTTGTTTACGAGTTTCAACATTACGATCTTCAAGAGAAGCAAATACCTGAGGTATTAAATTCTCTGTTATTTCTGAAGCGTTTTTCCGCAGGGCGTTTAATGGCATAGGTGAGAGAACATCTTGAAGCCAACGTAGTAATTCGGCTCGTAAAAACGGATTTTCCATCTATATAGTAAATAAATAGAAAGATGAGTAGAGTTTAGAAGATTATAAAACAGCCTTACATAAAACAAAACGTTATGAATGATTATCTTAAAAACCAATAACGAACAATTTAACGAGACATTAAAATCTTATTAATTATCTTCGTCTATAATCTACTAAGTAATTGTTCATTTCACACACACATGTAATGACTCAGGAATCCAGTTTAGTTCATATATCAGTCAGCATTTATATTTTTATGTACTAGTTCAAGTATACATGTATTAGAGACGATTAACTGTAAACAGTAATTAATGTTTCGGTCGAAATTTGCACAGGTTATCTTCAAAAAAGGTACATGAAAAGAAACTTACCTTTAAGGCATCAGCTAACATGTCATTTTCAAATACTGATAAAATGGGAACTCGACTTTGCCAAGAGCTAAGTGCAGTTACAGCTGCCTCACGTATTTGAACTTTTGAATCACCAAGACAGAGTAAAATAGGGGGTTCAACATACCTAGAAAATAGATCGGTTGAGTAATAAATTAATAAAATATTTATAGGAAAAGTTATTTTAAATGAAGATTTGCGTGCTTATTACATACGATTGTTATTGAAATTCGGAAAGTTTGGTATCAATTCGTACTTGTCTTAGTTAAAACAATACTGTTAATATTTTTGAACTGCTAGCTAAACGGATTGCTGGATTATGAAATAGTGCTTCCGGTTTTGCAGAATCAGAGAGAGTGAGTACAGCTAAATTGTAAACGTATAGATATGTTTCAACTGATCTTATTTATTATTCTTGGGATAAGATAAACCATTTTACTTCAGCAGTATAAAATAACCTAATAAAGTTTTTTATTTGTCATGTTAGAATTCAATAAGCTTCGTACAGTACACTTTAGCATAGTTCACAATGTGTTAAAAATTTCATAACTTCAACACTTTATCACGTTACGCAACCTCATTTCATCATTATTGTTCTTTATCTGTCCCTAAGATCTTAACGACCACACTTTCACTTCCTTACCAATAACAATTTTTTTTCTGCGATTTTGTTACTATGCACAGTACGTCGTGTTTTTTTAACAAACATATTATTGCAGAGAAAGAGTATAACTATGATTGTACTGTTTTGAGAAAAAATCCGCCGAAAAGAGAACTGTTGGTTGAACATATCGTTTCTATCTTTGTCTTAATGTGTGCATTTCATTTCTTATACAGATGATTAGTCTAGTGTTGGGAGCGTGTGACAAAACCGGGTACCCATAAAACCTAAGCCTGACCAATAACTTAATACTAGTGATTAGGGTATGGTATGAGTCACAATTAGTTACTATAACAAGTAACTCGGAATTACAGTGTAGTAGTAGCGGCTTTTGAAGTCAAACACAGCGTGTTGTAAAGTAGAAAAAAGGGGAAAGATGAATATAATTATAAAAATAGAAAAGACTACAAAACGTATATTTACTTTATGTAATTCACAGCGTCCGATTTCGGCATTGATGAAGCAAAGGAAGACAGGATTATTAAAGCTTGTTTGGCCAAGTTTTTATTCACATCATTAGCTGCCTTAGCTATCATAGTCAAAGGTTCTTGAAGCTTTCCGTTTGAAGCGTCAATCAAATGAGAAGGAGATATAAATTTTTCAATAGTAGTCAGTGCTTCTAGACGTTCTTTCCAGATCTTGCTTTTCAGAAGTCCCAGGAGTTCAGCTGTGAATCGGTCACTGAAAAAAGAAACTGGAATATGAATAACGGACACTTAACAGCATAGATGCGACAAAAATGCGCGTTATTAAAGTCAGATGACATTGAAGGTGAATTTGATTCTGATTCTACTTTAAGCATTCAAATGTGTTAGATGGAGAATTTTATGTAGTCAGCAACCACATGACAGTATAGTCCCTCTAAATTTATTCCGACACGCAACCCACTTTTCGGCTATGCACGTTATACGTAGGGATTTGGTTTAAAAAAACATGCAAAGTGAACCAAAATTATTAATGGTTGGAGTCATAAAATATAAATTTACACACTAAAAACAATATAGTTCGGATGTCGTACATATACTAAGGTAATAGGTAAAACATAACGAGTAAGTGGAAACATAAGTATTCATAAAAACCCAAAACGTAAAAGATCATGACAAAAACTTTTTATCTACTAGGAATGCCCTAAAAAGCTAATAAATCAGTTAAGCTGCAGAAATGATATGAGACATGTCAATGAATACCTGATATCTACTTTTGGAAGTAACACATCAGAGTCCATCTCCTCTATTCGACCAGTAGTTCCTATATCTCCAGACAATGCTTCAGTTCCGCTGGGTTCAGTAGACATTGAATCTTTGAGAAGGGTTTGGGCAGCAGAAAAACGAGTCGGAACAGGAGCTTTTTTATCTTTGTTTTTCGCGAATTCCACGTTCAGTAACGTAATCAAAGCCGGTTTCTCATCCGCTAACAGAGCTGCCAAACGATCATGGAGATATAAATGAATAGTGCCAGCAAGATTTAGTGAATTTTGTCGAACAGAAGGGTTAGTTGCATTTAGGCCTGTTTTTAGAAGTGGTCCAACTTCTTGTGGTGGAATACTAAATAAATTAAACAAATTCATCAAGCATCTAGGATTAATTTGTTAAGAATATTCAGCTATTTAAATCATGGACGTCATGGAATAAAAAAAACTTACATATAAGATAGGTTGAAACACTAATTACCCCTTAAATTACTAAGCGAAAGGAGAAAGAACAGAATGTCCTGGAAAAACTACTAAACACAAGCACGATTCGATTAATTATAACAGAAACTAAATTCCACAGCCAATTTATTTGAACACATAAATATTGGTATAAAGGGGCACTGAATACATATGCGCCACACGAGTCACTTGGTTTATTTGTGGGCTGTGATACTGCCCGGGTGCCCAAACCGAAGCAGGTGGTCTGATCCACAATGCAGTGAAGCGATGTTAGGAGATGCAGTCCCATGGTAGCCGGTGACAAACAATAGGTTCATACGCCATCTGTTCCTTCAGAATCCTGCAGCCCATGTGCACGATTGGTTTGGAATCAAGGTTTTTCAACTCCCCTAGGTGGATCCTCGGTGACCACCAACCCGATCAAGACGCTGGATATTCGCTTTTTGTCTTCTCAATTTCGTAAACAACACCACCGCCCCGAGAAGGCGATGAGTAGGTCTTAATTGGCAATGGCTGTATACGTGAGGTCGTGTAAGAGCATTTTTGAGATGGAGAGCTAACTCTCCCCACCCTCGGCAGTACCAGGGCATTTGGGGGTAAGTTTTCAGTCATTATTTATTATATGATTGCAATATTGAGTGGGAAAAGATCCCTTAAATTAGTTGATTGTTGTTATGAAACGTAACCCGTAAGTAAGCGTGGAATTAGATTTATGAACAAGTCATAGGTTATAAGTAAATAATATATTTGTCATATTCCAATGAGTAGAAAAATTAGATTTTCTGACTTAGTGTAAGCCATTTCTTCGGATAACAAATAACTAAATCAAAATTAATCCAAGTTTAAATAGTACAACGGAACAACAAGAATATTATAACTTAATATTCTTATTTATTTATAACAATCTACCCAATGCTCAATTTATTCGACATTATCAAGTCAAACTTTGGTAATGATACCTACAAAGTCATAGATTTATTTTCTACCATCTTAAGAAAATATAGGTTACATGTACTTAACCAGAGCAGGACGATGTAGTACGACACCAACTCAAAAGCACTCTTTGATTCCTTGTTTTAAAGGTGTGCATGCTATTATTTGTTTTTTGTCTTTCGAACCGTTTCATTTTCTCCTTTTATTGGATACTGATATGTAATAGCCCGAACATTATGAATAAGAATTTAGAATTCAAAGCAACAAATAGATATATTGGGACATTCGTACTTACATTTAACATGATTTTATTTTATTTATTTATTTTAACACATATATATCGGTACAAAGAGGCACCAAATACATATGCGCCACACAGATCTCATTTGATTTGTGCGAGGGCTGTGATACTGCCCGGGTGCCCAAACCGAAGCAGGTGATACCATACTTTACGATAATCCTAACAGAACTATGTAAAACGAAACCGTATACTGAATTTTTAAATACAAGTTCGAATCGTATAGCAGCGAAGAGTTACGAACGATACCCCCGTAAAATCCGGTGGTCGAAAGAGAGAATTTATTAACAGCGGCAAGGGTGTATGTGTATCACAAGTAAACCTCCGTACAAATTGATTCAGTTTAGACCATATATATATCCACTTTCATTTTTTTTTATACATGTAGAACATTCCTACCACGTAAAACCAGTGAGACTTTGCTAAAGGATTTCTTAGCACACAGCTAAATGAAACTATTGCAAGAAAGAGAGAGAGTAAACTCCATTCACAGACTATGTTACAGAATTTGGGGATCAAAAGAAACTTAGTGGACATGTACAGATCTACGTACTAGAATTTGAACTAATATTGTACAAGAGATATAGATAATCCCTAGTCGCTTGAACTAAAGTAGGCGGGACAGGGTTTCGGAACTTTAACTCAACGGTTAAAAGCCAACTGATATAAAAAGTCAGAGCATTTTTGTGCTGTACAACACCTGAAAGATCTAGCTACTATGACTTGAAAATCTCCGATATCTTTCATCTACTCAAACTTTGTTAAAGGCGATAAACTCAGAAAATCTAATCACTCATATAATGCTAGGAGCTTCAGTTACAACTGTTGGCCAGGAGGTTTATCACACACTACAACGATAAAAAAGCATACAGAACTGATATGTACTAGGTGAAGTAATATACCATTAGCCACCGAGGAAAGAAAAACGAGCACTAACTATAAACACCACTGTTATAGGTAAACGATTCAGTTCTACACCGGGTTTTGCAACAGGTGAACTGCTTGTATAGGCTAATATAGCTATTGTTCGGCCTGTGATCAGGTTCTCTCCTGTACCTGTATATACAACGATCTAGTTTAATGGTTTAATAATATCGTACCGTATGCATCGAATGAGTAATCAGTCAAGTGGACTGTTCAGTCTAATATATCGTTTCGAGGATACAGGATTTATGATCGCTCCGTTATGTTAAGAATTAGTTGTAGTTAATGATAACAATTTAAGCAAATTGAGAAGTGGACAATGGTTATTCGGTTAGCAACAAAATAATTTTTAAATTGTGAAGAGATTTTCAATTAGTAAATATAAGCAATCATGCATACAAAAATACATACCAAAATCCGAATTCCTGAATGCTTTGATTCAACCAAGCTAAACCTTCGGTCTGACTGCGAGGATTTTTAATCTGAAATAGTGTGCGCATTATAAAACCACCAACTAATTCGAGACTTGTTTTCTCAGCCAATTTTGTCATCGCGATTTTTGTGACATCACCGACTTTCGTATCACCAACCTTATCAATCAAATCTGATAAAAGTAACTCGGCCAAATTTGAACTGATAGAGATGCTTAAAGACAAAACTGCATTGATGTACTCAATTCGAGAGCGCAGTACCTTGATTAATACAGGAAAAGTCAGATTAAAGTACACGAACACCTGATTACATGGTTATTCTTTAACGTGTATGACTGAAAAATGTTGTCAACTGTAAATAAAAAACCAAACGCCAGTTTAGGAGTTCGGACATACAATTCGAAAACTTTGCACGACACTACTACTACTTATGCTTTTAATACCTTGATATGCACATGATTGTTGCTGAATTTCAAGTATGACTATCAATCTGTTGAAGGAAACAGTACAGTACGCAACGCTCAAGGGTCATATGTGATTGTCGCTTAAGTTGCAATCATTTGGGGTTTTTATTTAGGTTTCTCAAGAAACAACTTGTCACTAAGTCCATAACCGTGAAAAGTTAACCCCTCACACACATTTTAGAAAGGACTTCTATCTACTCTGCGTAATGGGAGTGACACCCCAAATTAATAAAATAGACCCTTGGTTTTGTAAAATAACACAAAATTCGGACTTCGAATTGAATAGTTTATTATTTATTTATTTGAACACATAAATATTGATACAAGGGGGCACCAAATATATATGCGCCACACAAAACAATGAGAATGGGAAGAAAAGAGGAAAAAATGTAAGGAGCTTAGGGAATAAAAAAAAAAGGAGGGAACAATAACGACAAGATTAGTGTAAGGTAGTGTAATAGTAGTAACAATGGGGGGAACGAAAAGGTGCAATCAGAGGAAATCTTACAGTTAAGGAAGAAGCAACCGCTTTTTATGAAGAAAGTAAACGAAGGTTACAACAGGATCGCCACTGGCCGACTGGAGCAACAGAGATGTATCCATTTTCAACCTTTCATTTCTATAGCCAACTATTATTTATGAACGAATCATTTTGTGGTCTTTTAGAGTTTTCTTGTTGATTAAATCATGCAGTTGTATTTAGCACATGACAAACTGAAATACAACGTCAATAATCCAGGTTTTAGTTTGTTCCAATTGATCAATGAGAACAGATATAAAATTGATAGTGAATATATTCACTCGATTTCTTTTTTTATATTAACGGTCACTTTTGAGATCGAAGGTGCCTATCAGGCTACTAAAAAGGACTTTAAAACTTGTAGTATTATCAAGACAAAACATCAACGCAGTTTAGAAAGTTGATGTTACGGGAGTTGGAAAACAATGAGAGTAGACGATTCTGGGTTTGATTGTTTAAGACCAGAACTTGATAGGTGTTGCATACCGATAAAACTATGACAGTAAACAAACCGAAATAATTTGACATAAATTGTCACCTAAAAGCCGACAATAATGATTTCACTCAAAACACAACTAAGTACCTGAAAATTAGTATCCTTGATTCCAGGCTTAAGTAGAACAGCACGACACAAAATTTGAATAGGTACGTCAGAACTGGTAAACGAATGTATGTTAGACTTCATTTGTTCAACCGCTTGCAAGCGTTCTTTCCAATTCGTATCAGATAATTGCTTGATAAGTGCTTCCCCAAGAAGTCTAAAACACATTCAATCAGAAATTACGGTCAAGGAAAAAGCTTTTTGAATTTTCCATTCAAACAATTATCTAAAATAACCAAAAGCACCACGTGTACTTTAAACAAATAAATTTAGTTTACAGAGGATGACCTCATCTATTAAAATGGTTAATTAACCCTTCCAGTTTTAATAGGAGAAAATTTCGTAAAAAGTGGTAATCAACACAAAAGATATAATGTGCCTAAGGATTACCTGTTGATACGTGAGTTCAATTTATTAATACCTGAAGCGCGCGTTCAAGTAGACGGTGAGTTGTGCAGGAATGAGAGGTGAATCGGGTATAGAAACTGTAGGCACATATTTGCTAAAATCGTTAAATCATGTATATCTTAAGCTGTACATTCGTATATATAGTTATATGGAAAATTTATGTTTATTGGAGGATAGAAAAAATTTTTTGCATCAACAAAATGGATTCGAGGAAAATAACAAATGGGGTTACGTACTAATCAAGGGGTAAGGAAGAAAATCGTTTATAGGTCAGATAATAGTCCAATTGACAAATATGAAGAAAGGCGACAAACACAAAGATCATAATCCATTTTGGTGATGCAAAAAATTTTTTCTATCCTCCAACAGACATAAATTTTCCATATAACTATATATACGAATGTACAGCTTAAGTAAATGATTTCGTCGAAAAGAAAATTTTCTTCGTTGAATTCTCTTTTTCTTATTCAATGACACTAAGGGTTACTTTAATTATCATGTATATCTCTTTCTGTCAATCAATGCTTAGAACGAAGTAAATTTATCTAACAATGTTGGCTGGGATGGTTGTTTATGGAGCTTTAATAACGAAGGGCAGCAAGTACTAAAATCTAGGGATTACCTTTCAAGCAAATCATTAACAGCTAGGAAGTATTCCTTCATTATCGATCATTAAACCTTTTAGTTCATTCTTTATCATCTAATGTTTACTTACGTGACACCGAATTTTCGACTCTACATCTCCGACTTCTGATATGACAGTAGAGTGGTGCGCCTAGTGGTTAGGATACTCGACTTCCGGCCACTAAGTTTCCGATTGGGACGCCACTCAATCTAATTCAGTTTGATCGAATTGGGTGGTATAATTAGCGTTCACAATCAAATTATTGCTCATACCCAAGTACCTGGTGAATGAGCCTGTAATTATCATTCAGTATCCAATCAAAACAAGCTAACATAGTGAATACGTAAGCAGATCCCTGACAAATGTATTGGGACCTGATGTTCAATAATGGTCCAGTTACTCTATTTTTTCCTATAACCATTATCGACCTTGTTTTCTGTGCAGCTTTGTAACAAAATGCTATAACAGAATAAATAAATGGTAATCACTAATTAGATTCCTGGGAATCTTTTCGTAATCATTACATTTAGCTTATAAAAATCATTTGATATTTGGCGTAGGATATCGAAGAAAACAAGGTGAGTGATACTAGTAACAACTCACTCAGAAGCTTTCTGAAATATTTCATCCTCTGTTAACAAGTTTTCTGTTGGAATAGTGAATTTCGATTTCTCAACAACAGATTTCGTACGTGCTGTAGATTTTTTATTAGATGGCCCAGAGGTTGGTGTTTTAGTAGCACATTCGGAATTAGCTTGTCCAGTGACGCTGGACGCTGTATTGGGACGAGTGACTGGTGGTGCTGCACGACGTGGTGCAGTATTGGGTTTAGCAGATGTAGACATATGTGTCGAAGTAGCAGTTGGTTGGTTACCTATATTGTCAAAAATAAGGGCAAAACATATCAGAACTGAAATACCACTCTGATAAAAATGAAATTATGAAAAGCATTTAAATGGAGAAAAATCTGAGCCACTCTACATGTTTGCTAATCAGTATGAGGATGGGAAGATTTTGGATACGAAGGTACGGGGAGCATACAATTAATAAAACGACAGATTACATCCCCCAATAAATAGAAAAAGCCAGATACTGACCACATTTAGCCTATCATAATCAAAGTAGAACCTAGCACACATGTGTGTGTTAGCCCAAGTTACCATATCATGACGATTGTAATGATTACTGATCTGAATAGGATATAATTATTTATTTACAATTTAGAAGCCTACAAGTATAGGAAAAATCAACGATTTCTGTGACATTGAAAGATAAAACTAACGTCTTAATTCTTATAAAAAAACAACATTATTAAGCGTGTCGATATGAATATGTAGTGAAATCATGGATCAAATGTAACGGTCAATCTAAAATTCATGTACTGAGACTATTATACGGCTTGAGATATGTGGAGCTTCGTGAACAGATTTATTCGATGAGAATTCTAATAATCTTTATTTCTGACTTTAAAATCTTTTTGCTATCTTCAGAGTTTTTAACTACCTAAAAGAAATAATTATAAATCTGTCTGGTCACTAGTTATGTTTAGGGATAGAAACTAATGGTTGACATTCGAATATTTTCGAGTCCTTTGAACCTTAAAGGAAGAAAGTAATACAACTCTATCTAAGTTTACGTATAAAACCGAAGTTTATTTGTTAACTGACGACGTCGTTATTGTAAAAGGTTTATATTTCAGCGTTAGAACATGTAACAATTTGTCTGGTACGTCGGGCCCGAAGAAATATCAATTTGTCGAGAAGAAAAATTTACCAAAATTTATCAAAGTTGTCAACTTATTGTGAAGTGGTTTGAAACATTTTCAGACTGTTTTGATAATTCAAGAGTTAAATACTGATACCACTTGATATTTTCCTACTAACTATTTATTTCAGAAACTTCGAGTTACTGATGTACCACCAGCTGCTTAACCTTATCGTTATCTGTAACAGATATATACTCTTCTAATCGATTTAGCTATTTAAGGTTTCAGAAACAATCTTAACTAATTTTAGGGACTTTAAGCACATTTATTTATTTATTTATTTTAACACATAGGTATTGGTACAAGAAGGCACCAAATACATATGCGCCACACGAATCTCAATTGATTTGTGTGAGGGCTGTGATACTGCCCGGGTGCCCAAACCGAAGCACATATCATCCCACAACTTCAGTCCGTAAAACACCAATTTCGTATTCAGCTGAAATTACTATGACCAGCAATTTACAATTTGAAGAATAGGGAAACATCATGTTCGTGATAAAACGGCAAATTATTCTAACTAGACCAGGAGCCTTCGAGCCTGTCTACTCACTACGCCTAAATTCGTCTTACACGTGTGCGTTAGGCTGGATTATAACAAAACACTACACAATTATCTATCGTCAAGTAATCTGCAACAGAAATACCATGTGGTTATAAATAAAGATTGGAAATTAAGATGTACCACTGATAGAAAATGTAACAGAAATCATAAACTAACCAGAGTTATTTGAATTACTAAGCTCAGACGCTATTTGTTCGCAACATTCATTGATTTTCGCCAGCCGGATGGGATCAAGTTCGCTGAGAAAGGGCTGGATAGTTTTTGCCGACACGACGAACATTGCAGCACCAAGAGCAGCAAAACTACATTCACGCACTTCAGGAACAGTATCGTTGCATGTTACACATAACGGTACAGTAAATGATTTCAAAATCTTTTTGTTTAGTGATATGGCAGAACATTTTTTGAACGCTCTACTTAGAATTAAGGCTGCTTCTGCACGTACATTAGGTGTTTTGTGACTTAATGCGGCTACAATATCATCCACAAAATGATCTAGTGAAGTCTGAAATCGAAAAATAATAACTGTTAAACATTAGAAAAACTTTGGTGGTAAAAACATACGATACAGTAACGGCAGCGGAGTATAGGAGATTAAAGAAGCAAGATTAAAACTGTTGACATTACAATTACTACTAGAATTGCATAGTCAAGAAGTCTTAATGTTACATAATCAGCACATAAACACATCAATAAAACCCTAATTCATTAGGTATCTTAAGACGTAGAAATCTCAATGAATATAAGGACACAATCGTAATCCATTACGAAGCATGTGATTAGATCCTATAAATATCTTACCTATTCGACTGAATACAATAAACCAAGCCTTCTAAAGAAATGATTTCCCGAGTTATTTGTGCTTTAAGAGCGACGAACGTTAACTAATACTGCGAAGTCTCCAGTGTTCTCTTTTATATATAAAACTAATTTTGTATATGTAATGCTAGAATCAACAACTCTAAATGCAACCTTAAGGGATCAACAGGAAAAAGCAAATCTATGGAAGTAAATAGGTGATAAGTTAAAAGGACTAGTCAAAATCGCACATCAAAAATTAAAAGACAAAATACATCATTAACCACCAACTATTAATTTAAATTAAGTGAGTGCTTTAGGGTACTGTCTATCAAGTATTACAGAACTTATAAGTGTGACGTAAAACTTACTAAAAAAGAATGGTACGTAGTTATAAACTAGTTTGACCATAACTAGAGCATATAACTGCTGAAATGGTATACCATAGTGTGCTAGTGCTATCTGTGAAAAATGAATGAAGTGAGTTGAACAGTAAACAGGAAGTCGTTTACCGAAGAAAGTATAATTAAGGTAGCTGAAAAAATTCAAACGTTAAAATGTCATATTACCATAGCATTAAAAGACAAAATTGCATACAAATTCCTCAACTCAAATCAATAAAATGAAAATATGAAACAAATAAATCACTAGAAATTGGTATAATATCGCTAGCGTGAGAATACAATCTACATTCTCAAAAATAAAAAGTAAAGGGAAGACGATTACAACGATGATACCGTTATAAAAGTGCTTTAAAAAATTCATCTGTATTTTTTTAAATAAGCGTATTTGATATAAGCTTTGAGTGTCTGGAATCTCATAAGTTTAAAAATAATAAATCATCAATCATCATCATCATCATCATCATCATCATCATCATCATCATCATCATCATCAAAAAGCCGCATTGAACAGTGCCTAACATTTTCGCATTAAACTAATGGACTGAAAAACCGACCTAATACCTATCACTAACTAATAACTAATCGATAGCTTTTGATGGAGTTTTGTTCTCTGAGCTGGATGGTTTGGTCGTGGAGCTTTCATCGTTCTTCTGAACGACATCATCAGCACAAACTTCAGCAGCGTTTGACTCTGTTGACCGAGAGGTTCTGTGGCAGTGTCTGTCATTGAAAGGCGTACCTCAGAAGTACATAAACCTTGTGAAGGCTCTTTACTCGAACACTACTAGTCGAGTCAGAGCTTATGGCGAACTGTCATCTGCTTTTGCAACCTCAAGTGGCGTCCGCCAAGGTTGTCCACTTTCTTCATTTTTGTTTAACTTCATCATAGACCTCCTGATGGAAATAACGCTTTCATCGACTGAATACTCGGGTATTGATCTCCTACCAGGAGGTTCACTTATTGACTTAGAATACGCAGATGACATAGTCCTGTTTGGTGAAGACGCTGATGAAATGCAGAGTCTTTTGGTAGCACTGAGCAACAATACCAGGATGTTTGGGATGCGCTTCTCTCCCTCCAAATGCAAGTTGTTGCTTCAGGACTGGTCTGCATCAACACCTGAACTAAGGATAGGGAGTGAAGTAGTCGAACGAGTTGACAACTTCACTACGAAGTGTGATCAGCCCTAATGGGTTGGTGTCTGACGAAATCTCAGCACGGATTCGAAATGATCGCTTGGCCTTTGCCAACTTACGTCATCTATGGCGAAGGCGAGTTATCCGTCTATCAATTCAGCGACGAGTATACTGCGCGGCAGTTCGTTCCGTTCTACTATACGGCTGCGAAACATGGCCTTTAAGAGTAGAAGATATTCGTAAGTTACTAGTATTTGATCACAGGTGCCTTAGAAATATTACTCGCATCTGCTGGGATCACCGGGTAAGTACTAGTGAGGTTAGACGCAGGGTATTAGGGAATGATGGTAAATCAGTTGATGAGGTTATGAATCATCATCGACTGAGATGGTTGGGCCACGTGCTGCGTATGCCTGAACACCGACTACCATGGCGCGCAATGCTAATCGGTGTTAGGAATGATTGGAAGAAAGTTAGGGGCGGCCAAACCAAAACGTGGCATCAGTGCTTGAAGTCACTAACTTCTGGTCTGAGCCATGTTGGGAGATTCAGACTGCCTGGTTGGGGTCCGCGTGACTATCGTAACCAATGGTTGGAGACTCTTGGTGACATGGCTCAGAATCGATCACAATGGCGTCGGTGTATACACTCTCTGTCTTCCTTTAAACTAAGAGATTAAAACCACTTCAAATCTTTCTTCCTACGAACTAATTCTATCTTCCTATACACACTCTTTCTTCTATATATTACCACCACTGAATTAACTACTTCTATGAATCCGGTGTTCATCTTGTTGTGCTAATGCGGTATGGCAACTTGGACCGATGCATATACGTGCCTGGTCCTACGTTGCAGCTGACTGACTGACTGACTATGTATTCAGTGCCCTTTTATACCAATATTTATATGTTCCAATAAATAATACTAAATATCAAATATTTGTCAGTAAAGTTATTTACTCATACACGACAACATACCTAAAAGGATCTTAGACTTAGACACAATGAGGTTCAAATACATCAGACTTTCGATGTCAAGAGCTGAAATCTCAACTAAACTATGGATATTTGAAAAGCTGAAAATTCAAGTTGCTTTGGAAAAAAATCAAATGAAAAGTGAGACCTTGTATGCCAATATGAAATGATGAAACACCACGTTATTTATGTGCAATAAGAAAAACATACCGAAGATATAGCACCATCAGCAGATTCTCTTAGAGCTTGAACAACATTAGGCTTCTTTTCTTTAAACTTCCCTAAACACGCTTGTAAGGTTTGTTGGGAGTAAGGACTGAACTTAGATTTTAATCCTCTTGCTATTTGTCCCAAAATTTTAGCAGCAAGAGTCACCAGAATTATGTTAGTATCTTTATTTACAACCTGCAGATTACAGAAATAATTAGGTCACAACGTACCTGAATCAAGCTTCTCACGAGGTCTGTGAAATCACCTGGAACAATCCTAGGAACGTTCGTAAATTTTTCAAGTGTCTCTAAAGCGTCACGCCGATCTTGCCACTTCTTTTCCCCCTGAAAGACGAGATCAACCTTATTACGAAGAACTTACTATTTGTTGCCAGTAATCGTTGGGGATTTTGCTAAGAACTTCAACAGGAGTAATCATATCATCCAAGTCAACCTGGTCGGTTAGGGTTTCACCTGGAATAGCGCCATCACTGGGACCACTTTCAGCCCCAGTATCTGGAGTAATTTCTTTAGGTTTTTGACTACGTAAATATCTCAATCGAACAGGTTTTCCGGGTGGAATAGAGTTAAATAATTCACATAACTCAGTCATCTGAAAGTCGTTTTAAAATTACACTTGGTATACATACCACAACTGGCTTGATATCCTTTAATAGGTCTTTTGTGGTTACTCCTATCCATCTGTAGACCTCAACGATGAGATTTTTCGTCTCATTTCGAATCCCTTGGTCTCGATCATCAAGTAGTCGTCCAAACTCTTTAAAAAGAGGTTTGATCGGAACAACAGTTGGGCCAAAAAGACTACGTACAAATAAGTAGTTAGTGAAATTAATCTCACTTTAGAGCTTCACGAAGCGTCTGTAAGCTTCCGACAACAACCTTTGGATTTTTAGTTGATAAACCTTTAATGAGCTCTTCTATTACTAATTCATGGCGCTCAATTTCTATCAGCATCAGTAGGCACTCAATTGACTTGTCTTTTGTTTTCATTCGAGTAGAACCCAGACATTTTGAGATGATACCAGAACAAATATCTCCAGCGCATCTAACAAAAGTTAGAGAAAATTCAAAAGTTACTTTGTTGCTGCTGCAGCTGTTTCTACGTATGCTAAGACAGCATCCAAAGCTTTTTCCTGAGCTCCAGCATGAGGATCAGTCACGAACTTCTTCATCAATCCAACATATTCGTTAAAAACAGGACTTTTTCCACTTGTCTCTGTTGAAAATATTTTGAAAGCTTCTTCGTATCCCGCCACACGTGCGTTCCAGAGCTAGGGTTAAAATTAAGATGGAAGAATGTTAAGTACCTTGTGCTGTACTTTGGACAGAGTGGGTAGCTTCGACCAATCATCTTCTGACGACATACTGAACACTCAGCAACTAAATGACACAAAAAATAACACACTCCATAAATCTATTCATTAAGAAATAAATTAAAACCCTCAATTAAAAGGGAAGTGACTTTGTACTTGTTGCATTAAAAGCATTCTTGGTCCACTTAAAGTATTTTGGTCAAGGTTTTAAATCGTGCTAAACTTTGTCCTGTGGTGCCTTCATTCTCATTGACTGACACTTATGTTTATACTGTTTTAAACCTTTTTAATCTGATTACAATGGTTGGCTGTACTTATAAATGTGGACAGACAAACTGTTTGTTCCCAGTGGATGAAGGATTGCAGTGCGATGAGCGTAAAAAGTGGTTCCATAAGATGTGTACCCATTTAAGTTACACCACATACGAAAGATGCTTGAAACCTAATTCGCATTGGCTCTGTATGTCTTGCTGTACAAATAAGACGTTATTAATCCAGGAGGATATGAGCCTAATAGCTTTGGCCTGTAAGAAAAAAGATGATGGTTGCGCCGATACTGGTGGCGAAGATTGCGTCAGTGCTGTCACGGCACCTGTCAGACACCCAACTGTGCAACAAAAAATTGAGCTTTCTACCCCGAAACAATTAATCAGCATTACACCATTAGATATAAGAGGCCGAGTTGCTACAGCAGCGACTGCCGATCCTGACAAAACCATTACCGTCCCGCGATGTTGCGACAGATAGGAAATAGATGACACAGAAACGTAGAAGTGCAGGAAAGATAGCTAAAACCACTCGGCCAAAGTAAGACCTCATCATTGTTGTCAGTCATTCACTCGACTCCAATGACTCTATTGCAAAGAAAACTAACGGTAAGATGTTGTACAGGAATGGCTAGGAGGCTTCTTATGTGACCGCGGACGGAGAGTGGGCATCAATGGAATGCTATCCGGATGGAACCCAGTCAAAAGTGGTGCACCCCAAAGCATTATCTTAGGCTATCTACTTTTCCTTTACTACGTTAATGAATTACCGCTCTTGCGACATTATTGTTTGCGGATTATGTAAAAATCTGGAGAACAATAAGAAGTAAGGCTGATTATTTGGATCTCCAATCTGACTTAGATGAATTAGTTAGATGGCCTCGAGGTTGGGGCTTAGAAGTTAATTCTAGGAAGTGTGCTAATGCACATCGGTCACAGTAATAGTTACCATTATACTGTTGAAGGCAAACCTCTTCCGTGCGTTCAAGAACATAAAGACTTAGGAGTAATAATGAGTCGCCCCCAAATGCCCTGGTACGGCCGAGAGTGGGGAGAGTCCGCTCTTCCTCTCAAAGTGCTCTCACATGGCCAGGCGTACATAGCCTCTGCCAGGGAAGTCCTACTCACTGCCTTCTCGTGGCGGGGGTGTTGTTTACGAAAATGAGAGGACGAAAAGCGAATGTCCGGCGCTATAACCGGATTATAAATCAATGGTGCACATGGGCTCCAGTATCCTGAGGGAACAAATGGAGTATGAACCAATCGTTGGTCACCGGCTACCATGGGACTGCATCTCCTTACGATGCTCCACTGCCTTGTGGGTCAGACATTCAGGTCGAAGGCTCTGGGTGTGGCCCCCTAAGAAAACCACCTGCTTCGGTCTGGGCACCCGGGCAGTATCACAGCCCTCACACATATCAAATGAGATCTGTGTGACGCATATGTATTTGGTGCCTCCTTGTACCAATATCTATGTGTTGAAATAATAATAATATGTAATAATAAGTCATGACCTAAAAACAACTACGCATTGCAACGCAGATGCTGTCAAAGGTTTTCGTGCGTTATGGTCACTTCGCCGAGCGTTCAAATCTTTTGACGAGGAAATGCTTCGAATTTTATATCCCACCTATGTAAGACCACATTTAGAGTACTGTATCCAAGCAGCTAGCTCATGTCTGGTAAAGGATACTAACTCACTTGAGTGTGTCCAGCGTGTGGGAACGAAATTAGTGAAGGGTCTTCCTAAACTTCCTTACTATGAGCGTTTAAAACGCCTAAACCCTTTCCCCTTGTCGTATCGTAGGACTCGAGGTGACCTTATACTGGCATTTTGTATCCTTAAATATGATTTGGGTGTTAATATGTCTTATCGTTTTGCTCCCTCTAGCGCTAATAATCTCAGAGGTCATAGCAAGAAAGTTCACAAACGGCGATCTAATAAACTTAAATTGGGGTCTAGTTTTTCTCATTTAGTAGTCAATGACTGGAACGTCTTGACCGAACAAGTGGTATCAGCTCCATCAGTAAATATTTTCAAGAAACTGGACCTTCACTGGAAGGTCTTTCAGGATTAACACAGGTTCACTAAGCTACTATCCTTGTTACTAGACTGAATTAAAGATCACTTATGAGATCCATACTTGAGTAGTGAGCTACATTTTATCTGCTTACTTACCTAGCGCCTGTGACTTAGTTGATTGGGTTGGTACTTTATTACGACTTCCTGCATGATAAGGGTGAATTTCTGACTACATAGCCAACTAGGTTACTTAAAAAATACATGAAGGACTAACAATCTGGAATAAAGAAAGTCGTAACCAACTCTGAAAAGTGCGATATATGTTGCAAACAGTGGGGCAAAAGCCTGCTAACAGTTGCGTCCAGAATGCTGGACTAAGGCATACGGCACCCATCGAACTCCTGAAGAGATGAACAGGTCCTTTACTATTCAACAAGCGCTTGGATGAAATCACAAATATTAGATCGGGTGGAAACTACGAAGCACAACATGTCTGTATGTTCTCATACAGAAAAACCACTTTTTGCCCAGTCGATTTTTTTCTTGTGGTGTGGTGGAGTATAACAACTATAGGTTTAAACATGTTTGGGCTCATATCTACACTGTCTAACTAACGGTATACCGTATCTTCAACTGTATATGGCTTCCACAGAGATAGCTAATGTAATGAAAAAAGGATTCCAATGTAAACAGTTAACAAACAAGTCTATTACCTATGACTGTTCTAATCGATTCGCTGAGATTTAAGCTCCTCACAGCCGATCCTTTGGTATTTATCACGTAAAATCAACTTGATTCGCTGATGTGATTTAGAAATCTAAGCTAAAGTACACATATGCTAGGCTTTATATTATTACTGACAATAAAGAAGACTCTGAGTTCAAATGAATCCATAGAGTGAAGTGGCATCCAATTTAGTTTAATTGACAAAAATACGTTGCTTTCCTCCTTATAACCCTTCTGTATATTTCAAAATAAACTGTTGGTTGGAAAAGTTTAGTTAGCTTGCAACTACACACCAGCACGAATTCAGAACCCCCAATGGGAATTCACCAACCTGGGTCACTTGCAGCGTAAATAAGATGTCTACCAACTAAGACGAGTTCACTGAATGACAGCTCGATTTGTTCTACTTCAGGGTTATAAAACTCGGACATTGATATAAGGAGATAATTGGAGGTCATGTGCTTCCGATTAAAGATTTATTTTATTTATTATTTGAACACAAAAATACTGGTACAGGGGGCACCAAATATGTATGCACTACACAAAACAATGAGAATTTAGGAAGGGAAAAAAAGTAAGGAACGTAGGGGATTATAAAATTAAAAAAAGAACAATAATGGGGGGAGACGAAAAGGTACACTCAGAAATCTTACATTTAAGGAGGATACAGCCACTTTTTATGAAGAAAGTAAAAGAAGGTTACAGCACGATCGCCACTGGCTTCTATTCTGAGCCATATCTGATAACGTCTCTAGCCACTGTGTTACACCATCTCTCGGACCCCAGCCAGGGAGTCGTGAAGAACCAACACAAGCCAGCCCTTTGCAGCTTTCTTTCATACCACGACACCATGTCATATACTGACCACCTCTCCGCTTTTTCCAACCAGTCCCAGAGTCGGCAAATAATGCAAGATGTGGAATTCTCTGGGACGACATTCGTAGAACATGTTCAAGCCAGCGAAGCTGGTGTTTCAAGATGGTGACACCAATTGCATTATCGTCTGTGAGCCCGAACACACGATGCCGAACCTCTGCACTACTAACATGGTGTTGCCACTGGATGTTAGCAATCCTTCGGAGACAGCGATGATCGAACACAAAGAGTCGTCTAACATCCTCAACTCGGAGAGGCCAGGTTTCACAACCACAGAGCAGAACTGCTCTCATCGACGCGTTGTAGATCCGACCTTTTACAGCCAGACTAACATCACGAAGGCGCCAAAGATGGCCCAGATTGGCATAAGTCGCTCTGGCTTTCACTATACGTGCATTGATCTCATCACTCACGCCACCAACAGCACTTATGCAGCTACCCAGATTCACGAACTTCTCGACCACTTCTATCTGCTCACCATCCAGAGTGAGTACAGGATTAGAATCCTGCCAATCTTGTAAAAGTACTTTACACTTCGAAGGTGCAAAGCACATACCATACCTACGGACTCTGATTACCAACTGATTAATTGAGGATTGCATGACTTGGGCATTCTCGCACAGTAAGACAATATCATTCGCATACTCAAGGTCGAGAAGTCTTTCTCCAGGCAACAGATCCACACCACCATTACTTACATCCGTCAGAGCTGTTTCCAGAATGTCATCGATGGCAAAGTTGAAGAGGAATGGTGAGATTGGGCAACCCTGTCTAACCCCACTGCTTGAATGGAACAATGGAGAAAGGTGATTGTATGCCCTCACTCTGCCTGAGGTGTTTGCGTATAGGGCTTTTAGGATGTTAATAAACTTCTCAGGCACACCCTTCTTCAATAGACAATCCCAGAGAACAGTCCTATCCAACGAATCGAAGGCAGCCCTGATGTCAAGAAACACTACGATTGTTGGCCTTTGATAAGTATGGCGTTGTTCTAACATTTGGCGGAGGGTGAAGATATGATCAATACATCCTCGATCGGAACGAAACCCAGCCTGCTCCTCGCGAGTCAATCTTTCTCGGGTTCTGAACAACCTACGAAGTATGACGGAAGCCAATAGCTTGGACGCAATCGGAAGTAGACTTATCCCCCGATAGTTGTTACAGGAACCAAGTGAACCCTTTTTAAAGATAGGGACAACTATCGACTCATTCCATGACGTTGGTACACTCTCTAGTTCCCAGACCTTTGCAAACAACGTCGTCAGTCCCTGAGTCAGAAAGTCACCACCATCTTTAAAAAGAGCCGGAGGTAAGTCGTCTGGGTCCGGTGATTTGTAACGTTTCAAGAGTTGGAGTTCCTTGCGGACTTCCGCCTCATTTGGTGGATCAGTCGTCACCGGCTATGGAGGGCAGGATAGTCTGACCGATGTTGCCGGAGCAGTAGACCAGTTGAACTGCCCATCGAAGAATCCCGCCCATCGTCCAAGACGTCGATGGATGTTAGTGACTGGCGTTCCGTCATCCTCGCAGATTGTTTCGCTCACACCAAACTTCTTGCTGCCAGTGGCTCGGATGAGTTGGAAGAGCTCCCAGTAATTACCAGATGCAGCTGCTGCTTTCAGGTCATTAGCACGCTCTGACCACCAGGCTTCTCGGTCCTTACGTTACGCAAGCTTTGCCCGATTTTAGTACGTAACATCCTTCGTCTGTGGTCAAACTTACGGTCACCCGGAGTAGATGCCTTCGAAGCATTGCTTATTATGTTGGGACCCTTGAAGTTAGACTCAGGACATCCGGTATGGAAGGTAAATCGATTGGTGAGGTAGCGAACTTTAGTTAACTGACATAGTTAAGGCATATAACGTACCCCCACCCATCAACTATCTTGATCAACGACGTTCGCTAATGTACGTTAGAAGAAAGTAAGGGGAAGTTAAAACAAGATATGAGATCAATCCATAAAGACAATGGATGTTGGACTGAGCCGTGTACGCAGGTGTAGACAAAATGGTTGGGATCTGAGTGGCTAACATAAGCAATGGTTGGAGACTGGTTTGTAATGGTGTAGGTGCACTCACTTGGTGTACTTTCTTAGATCCTAAGTTAACTCTTAAACTATTTTACTCTAAATATCTGTATTGTCTTCGCCTAGTTTTTTCTACTCCAATCAATAATACTTGCACCACTATCACTGAGGTTTTTCCTGGAAGTTTCATCGCGGTGCCAATAGTGACGACTAGAACCGATGTGCATTGGTATCAGGTCCCAAGTTCCATATGACTGACTGACACATATGGTTTGTTGAAATGAATATTTGCCCAAGAAAACATTTCACCCAGAAGTTATCTTTATACTTACTTTAGATGGTTATAGTAGCTTGTTCCTACCAGTTAGACAGAAATGGACAGGTAGATTCTCCAGAACTTTCAAAAATTTTAACCATGAAGATAATGAATTGTTTATAAAACCGCGGTTTATGGAGTGATTCGCATTAAAAAGTGTAAGTCTTGTTTTAAAACACCACTCGAAGGCTGTGGTGATTAGATTATTTGATACTTAGTCATTGAGTGAATATGTTAGTAATGGCTGATTTGAGGACAAAAACCAGTATAGACTGACATGTAGCATGCGGTGATGGCTACACAGAAAATTTAACAACCTACTGGAACACACTACCTGACATCCACCATAAAGCAAATTCGATTATCTATACACACAAAAAAACCCAATCATTTACGATGGAACTTTAAGGTTTAAACCTTAAAGTTCAATAATTACTGAATACTTGTTACCCTAATTTTCCAGTCAGTTCCAACTATATACGAAGATGCATTAAATTGAAACTTGAGCACTTTAAATACCTCCGAGATAAAGCTGCTAACTATTCTGACGATGTCCTTTACAGTTTCAACCTAAGCCTTAGCCCTATACATGTTATCAGTTTACCAAGTCTGATGAATGATCAGATGCTAAGTAAAGCACTACCATTACTTTGTCTACTATATTTCGATCTTGTAGATAACTCATAAAAAGCCAAAAACGAAATAAACCACAACGGATGCACAAACAACAAAACCCACAGTTCAAAAATCAGCTCTGCAGTGAGACCGCCAATACTGGGGTTAAGCTTAACAAATCACTCGAAGCGATAGATACTTTCCCAATCATTTTAATAAACTGGCATATTCACTCCCTTTTAGAACGCTTAGAAATAAGCTCTCGATCTAAGCTGTAGTCATACACAAAAAGCCTTTAAACTGAAACGTTCTGTTTTAAATTTTTAATATTGAAATCAGAAGGGGTTTTTGTGAATATTATAGTAATTTCAGTAATTGAGTTCACGAGTCAATTGAAGCTAAACCACCATGGAGACAAAATATTATTTCCCTGTGTCAGTCCTTTGCTAACAAAGTTTCATGAGTTTCAGGCCCACCATTACCTGATTAGGAAAAAGAGAGGGGATATATCAGTTTCAGTTTCGGTTTGGATAGGACAGGAGGCTTGATGGCCTGTGTTAGTCCTGGCAATTGTGTTCTCTCAGTTGATCCAACTTTTTTTTTGAAAGAATCTACGGATGGAGCTTCAACCACATGTTGAGGTAATGAATTCCACTCGTTGATGATTCGGTGGGAAAGTCGATAATCAGCTGACAAGTGATTTGTTCTGGGCTTGTGAACTTTTTTGGAGTGTCCTCGTAAATTCTCTATTTTGGAAGACAGGAAAAATGAGGGCATATCAGGTGCAAATTTATCACTAAGCAATTTGAAAACTGTAATCAAGTCGCCTCTAGTTCTACGATATGACAAAGGGAAGAGGTTCAGCTTGGCCAGTCGAGCATCATACGGAAGCTTCGCTATTACGGGAATCAGCTTAGTTGCTGTCCTCTGGACCTTTTCCAAAAGCTCACTGTCTTTTTTTAAGCAGGGGCTAGCCGCTTGTATGCAGTACTCAAGTTTTGGACCTACGAACACTGTATACAAAGTCAAAAACGTTTGAGCGTCGATATGAGTAAAAGCCCCACGTATTGATCATAAAGTTCTAAAAGCTTTGGCGGCTATTGCACGGCAGTGTGCAGTAGTCTTCAGATCTTGGCTAACGATGACTCCTAAGTCATTATGTGCCTGGACAACAGGTAGCTCAGTGTTATTCATCGTGTATGTATCTGAACCTTGATGACCGATATGCATCACAACACACTTGGAAGTATTTATCGGCAGCTGCCATGTATGAGACCATTCGGATAATTTCTTCAGGTCATTTTGGAGTTCTAAGCTATCACCCTTACATCGTATCGTTCTCCATATCTTGACATCGTCAGCATATAGCAAGACCGATGATGATAGTAAGCAAGGAACGTCATTTACATACAGGAGGAATATCACTGGCCCCAAAACTGTACCCTGGGGCACTCCACTAAGTACAGTTTCCCAGCTAGATAATTTTGAGTTTACCCGTACTCTTTGTTGGCGCCCAACAAGGAAGTCTTCTATCCACGTCAATAGATTGCCTCCAATTCCGACATTTTTTAGCTTATATAACAGCCGGTTGTGCGGAACCTTGTCAAAAGCTTTGCTGAAATCAATGTAAGCCACGTCTACAGGTAACCTTTGGTCCTTAAAAGCGCACCAGCTTTATCGAGTGACTAATAAGTTAGTGATACAAGAATAACCTATTCTGAAACCGTGCTGTTTCTCCGAGAGGATTCGGTTTACATCGAGGTATTTAAACAGCTCTTTCCGAATAATCTTTTCTAAGATTTTAACAACCACACTAGTTAGGCTAACGGGTCGGTAATTCTCAGGTTTATGTTTCGTACCTGTTTTGAAGACAGGACTTACTATGGCGTTCTTCCAGTCTTTTGGTAAGCGACCCTGCGTAACGGATAGCTTAAAGCATATACTTAAAGGGTTCGCAACGAAGTTAGATAATTCCTTTAGTAGCCTAGGATGCAATTCATCGGGCCCCATGGATTTACCTATGTCAAGCTTATTTAGCAGATCAAAGACATCGAGTTCATTTATGGTCACGCTATCCAGTGTATGTGTGGGGGGGTTTGTATGCGCTGACGGGAAGGGTACTTCTATGGTATATACATTGCTAAAGTAGTTTAAGAACACTTGAGCCTTACCAAAGACATCTTTCACTAATGATGCGGCAGCACTGTCTCCCCATAGTGCAGGAATAATTCCTCTTCTTTTTGTCCTTTGGTTTATATAGGAATACAGGCGTTTAGGACATTCTATGGATTCCTTAACAATTTTTTCTTCGTACAGCTTTCTAGACTTACGGAGGGTCGAGGCACAGGTATTCCTAGCTTTTCGGTACTGAGATTTTGTCTCATCAGTCCCCAGTAACCTAATCTATCCCACATTTTTCTTCTCTTACGGAGAAGGATGCGGACCTCCCTATTGAACCATGGTGGGGAGTTTCTCGGCCCTCTTGGTATAGTCCAAGGAATGTGGGGTGCGGTAACTTTTAAGTACAAATTTCGGAATGCATCCCAAGCCGTTTCAATTGAGGACTCTGGGTCTATTGTCCAATCTACTAATGATGCCGAGTGCATGATATCTGGTATGCTTGCTTTCCAGACGTTAGGTCTGGATTGAGTTGACGCTCGCTCGTGATTGACAGTTATATGGAAGTCAAAAGTTAAAACTGCATGATCACTTTTGCCTAGGGGTGGCATGTAAAGGAGGTTCGCAACGTCATCCTCATAGTGAGTTAATATAAGATCTAGTAAGGATGATTCAGTGTCCGGGTCGTACCTAGTCGCTTCTTTCACATGTTGCACTAGGGCATATGTTATAACCGCATCAACTAGTTCCTGCTCGAAGGAATTATCTGATGATTCGGTTCGCGGATTTCCCCAGTCTACCATAGGTGTACTAAAGTCCCCTAGGATTAGACATCGACCACTTCGCGACCAATTTTTGAGCCTGTTTAACAGGACACCATTTACCTCACAGCTTGGTCTGCGATAGACCAAACCAATTAGCAGCTCTTGCCCCTTGAATTTCAAGCGGCAACTAACCAATTCACACGTCCCACTATCATGGGATACACTATCAATAATGACAAACGGGATAGCATTCATAACGAATAAAGCTACTCCCCCTCCTTTACGCTTATGTATCCTGTCGGTCCTTACTAAAGTAAAACCCTCAAAATCGAGTTCCATATTATCTATAGACTGTGTCAGCCAGATTTCTGTGACTGCGATTATGTCTGGCTTTGTCAAGTAAATCTGTTCACCTAGTTCCGATAGTTTATTGAGCAAGCTTCGGGCATTAGTGTAACAGATCTGTAGCCTATTTAAGTGGCTTCGTGTTCCACCCAGAGTGGCTTCGCCATCATTCTCTGACGAAGCCTCACAACCCGAAAATTTACAATTTTCAGGTCCTTTTCGCCAGCGTCTAACCTCATTTGTAGTTCTTTTTCGGCTTCCCGTCTTTGTACACGATCTGCCAACGGCAAGTCCTTTCGGATAAAAACTCCCGAACCCTTTAATTTATGTCCATTCTGCAAAATTAAGTCCCTTTCATTCGAAGATTTGAAAACTACTTTAAGCAGTCTAGATTGATTAGGCTTCAAGTTCGCTAAACTACCTAGTCTAATCACCCTTAAGCAAGGTGACTCCGGAGATACTTTGAGGCATGAGTTGATTAAGTAGCTGTTTTATCAGGACAATGTCATGCTCAAAACGAGTTTTTGGTTCGGAGCTTTCGCTCTCCTTGATCCTATGAAAAATGACTGATCTGTTACTGTGATCAGCCTTCGATTTTTCGACTTCTTTTGTGGGGGCAGGGTTCCCTTTCATATCGTTTTTCTGTTTCTTCCTCACAACCTGTACCCATTCGTCAACGTTGCTTGGAGAAGCAACCACAGTCGCGTCAGACATACTGTGTGGTTCCGGAGGGTTTTCGATGACTTGGGAGGTCAGGTTTGGTGTCCCTTTAGAAACTGATCGAGCCTTGCGGTTGCGGCTTCTATGTGTTTCTTTCTGGATACCATTTTGAGGATGTGGGACAGAAGAAACTTTTTTCTTTGAGATTTTTGTGAGGGCAGAACTCTTTGGGGACTGTTCTCCCTCCTTTGGTCGGTGCGAGTCATCTGTTTTCGAACTCACTTTAGTTTGCCTCACGCCAATTTTCGTGTCGACGGAGCGAGTACTTGATGATGTGTCGTGACCACTCTTGCCAAAACATTTTTTAGCAGCACTA